GAGGCATGGTGAAATAAACCAGGTAGAAATGTTGCTCATTCATGGACACTGTATGGCATTTTCACAGAAACAACAGTATAACTTAAAAAGTCTTAAAGTTCTCTTTCAGTGCAGAGGAAAAAAAAAAAAAAAGTCTTTGATAAACAAAGAGAAACAAAAAAAGAATATAGAATGTTGTTTAAGTAAAAAGCTCCATTTGTAAACCTATGTCATCTGGGTCTTTTACGGGTAACGAACATTAAGACACGTCTGATTGCTAGTAGGCGATCTTTCAATGACGTCATGGCCAGTATGGTTAGCTGTGCTTTGTTCTCTAGCGGCAGCACAGCCAGCATCCACCAGCACCAGGCTGGGCCACTTGAATTAGCCTAGAAGAGAAAAGTGTAATGCAACAACATTTAAAACTGGTGTTCAGCAGCAAATCTTGCAGAGATAATCCAAGCAAATGTCATTGCATCATAAATAATTAACATTATTACAGATTTAAAAAATAAAAAAAGTCTCCTCTCCCTTTTTTTCCCTCACTTCCAGTTTTTAAGATGACTAGCTAGATGTGTACATTCACTTGCAAGAGCAGTTTCCACCTTTTATCAAATGAATATGAACACACTTGTAATCATATTGTATATAAGTAAGCAAATCCAATTCATATGTACAGGAAACACAATCAAAATGAAATGTTCACATTTAATGGACCAGTCAAATGAGGCATACAAAAAAATAAAAATGGGTAGTAAAAATAAATAAATTAACTAAAACCCCCCAAAAATAAATTTTACTCAAAGGTCAAGATTGGTTAAAATGTCAATGTCATGATAGTAGATGCCTTTAAAATTTATGGGATGTAGAAATTGAGGATAAAAACAAATTAAAAATACACTGGAGTGCACCTTTAAGATTTGTATCTGCAGTGACACTTGACAACCTTCTATATGCTAAAGGAGAAAGCAACTGTAGTTGCAGACACCCATAACAAAGATTAATTAGCAAGATTGTAGATTAAATGTATGAGCATCACGCTAAGCTTGAGAAAGATGTGTTTGTTCCGTTACACGAAGGTTTCTTTACAGCAAAAGCAATGAATATAAAGAATTATTGTGTTAGAAAGATTGTTTTGGCAAATGCAGTAGATGCTTCCATGAGACAGCAGGGTAGAATTTCCAGAACACAAATTAAACAGTAAGTACTTATTTTAAAAAAACAGAAGTACATTGATCACGGGGGCACATCAAATGAACTGATCCCTAAACGCATTTTGGTGTCCATTTTTCTCAAACAAAAGTGCAACATGTTCATTTTTTTTCCTACATGAACAACATAAAACATTGTGATTTCTACAAGGTTTCACTTGAAGGACTTTTCATTTGCAGCTCGATTGCTCGAAGCTATAAACTGTTCAAGTAAGAAAATGTTTTTCTGATGGACACCAGTAATACAGGAGCAGAACTGTCTCTAAAGTACAGGGGTTGGAAATTGAGCGCTAACCTGTAGTTCCGATTCCTTGCTTGGCATTTGCCCAAAATGGCTAAGAATTTGTGCTTTTAGGTTGTCCTTAAGATAAGTGAACCATACCAAGGCCTGATCATACACAGAATTATGCAGTGCAAGCAGTTCTTCATATTCCTGTCCTTCAACCTGTGGAACAATAGAGTAATGTAGAATAAATTAGTTCATAGCATAGAACATTGGTTTCTAATTTCGCAGTACAATAATTTTTGATAGCTGCCTATACAACTCAATCACATAAAAATACTTTTAATATATAAATCAAATACTGTTCTTAGCCACACCTGAAATAGGAATGAAGTCTAACAAGATGTAAATACTCCAAAGTATTGCCAATACTAAAACAATTCATAATGAGGTCAGATTCTGTAAATGTGCCACCTGATTTATGTTATCTAGGGGTATCTGGGATTCTACAAGTCTTGTACCAATCGTGTGTGATACTTCAGATAGAAATATTAGGACTAGAAATATCAGATGCACTTTTGATGAACTAATCATAAAAGATGGTTTAATTATTTTACTCTCCTTCTGTAGTTCTTCCAAGGCTAATGGGAGATAATCCATGATAGTAAGCTTGACTCAGTCCAGCATTACAGACTTACCTATTGCTCATAGAGCTGTAAAGCAATTTCCAACTTAAGAATCATCAAATGGGCAAAATGTTTACTAGTTGTAATTGTAATTGCACAACCAAGATGTGATATTGTTCTCTCCACTCTAAATACAAGTTTTTTTCCTGTGTATAGCCTTTATTTTGAAACTTTAAAAAGAGGGTACATGGGGAAAGATCGTTTAGTTATATGGAGGACTCATTGCGAGCAGGTTTAGAACTTATTAGGTATACAACATGGGTCCTCTAGTCACAAAAGATAAGATACCAAGAGCAGTCCTCTCAGAATTAGTTACCTTTTTGTCTTCCAGATATTCTATATTTGCAGTATGGTAACCATCTCTCTGTCCATGGCTCAAGACTTTAAATCGACTCAATCCAACTGTGTCCACTACTGACCGCCCATCAGGGAAAAACTTTACATCCCTCACACGTAACATACAGCCATAATCTGCAAACCTGGAATGCCATAGAATAACATGACCATGAAAGCTTGATGAGAGACAATTTCAGGACAAGTATGACAGGCATATTACAATGTACATATCATACATGCACAAAGTGCATTCAGGGCCGGCCTTAGGGGTGTACGAGCTGTATGGCCGCACAGGGTGCCATGGACCAGGGGGCACCCTGAGGCAGACACAGCTCACACATGGCTGGCCGGGGGCAGAGCTTACTGTGCGGCCGGGGCGGAGCTAAAAGTGCAGTGTAACTGCTGCAGGGGAAGCAGGAAGGAGTCCCTGCTTCCCCCAACAACCAGAATCCAGGGGCTGCACTACTCCCACCTCCATAATGAACAGAGGTAACTATGTGTGATTGTCTGAATGTGTGTGTGAGAGACTGTCTGCCTGTGTGTGTGGCGCTGTCTGGGCAGACTAGATGGGTCGAATGGTTCTTATCTGCCGTCACATTCTATGTTTCTGTGTGTCTGTGTGGCGCCCAAAGGCCTAAGGCCAGCCCTGAGTGCATTATACATGTGAGAATATAAATAGATTACATAAATTCATTTTACCTCCCTTTGGAAGAAGTCAGGTTAGGTGTAGATGTCCGATCACACTGCAGCCCAGAGTCAAACCTCCATTACAATGGGAGTTGCAGAGGCAACGAATGAAGCTTTGCAAGTATAATAATGACACCTATACCTAATACACTTTAATCAATTTAGCACTAGCACTTTTTAATTTGTCTCCCGTGTTAAAATTAATGTAGGACCCACCGATATTGGGGTAATATGGCGTAGTGGTGAGCTTACATGGCATATTGGTAAAACTCAATCCACATATTTGTTTGATGGGGGATTACAAGTAGCTTTTTAGAATGTTAAACTGTATTTTTGTGTGCGCGTTATTCCTTAATCTGTATTTTGTATAAATTTTGGCCTCTATGGCAGCACCACTGCTGAGAAATGCCTCCATTTCCCTTTTTTTGGGGTGTAGCAAAAAAGGAAAAAAGGGGGGAGGGGGAGAAAAAAAAACCCACACATCCTGTATATATGACAGGATCCTTCAGCCATATACATGCACCTTGGGTCAAACAGTGTTAGAAAACCAACAGTCTCTGAGGTCTTCCCTAGTTCTCTGTAGAGAGTGAAGCATGGAAGACCATAGAGACTAACTGTCTGTCACAGTGCATTGTTCCTCTGCTGTTCACAGCCAAATATTTCTGGTATTGAACAGGTCAAAGTAGATGAATGAGGGGGAAATCTACTCAATAAATTGTGGAGAAAAGAGGGTTACTAGATTCACAAAATCCAGACTCTCCATCCACATGGTTTAAATGTAGATTTTGATTTGTTTTGTTTTTCAGAACTTTTTTCTTTCAAATTTTTTCAAAAAACTATTTTTTTTACATTTCATACATTTGGTCATATTTTTTATATTTATTTTTATAATTTATTTAATTTTTTTTTCAATTTTGTTTTCTTTTTATTTCATTTTTGATTTCTCTTTTGTTAACATTTTTATTTTTACCAGTATTATTGCTTTTTGGTACTATAATTTGTATATTTTGGTATTTTGTATTATACCTTTATCCCGCTCTCCTTTAATTCAGGCAGTTTTCTATGTTTCTACCCTTTTTCTTCAGACCTCATTTGAGTATTGATGGTTCCAGAGTATAGGAACAAGGCGAAATGCTTAACTATGGTGTGTGAAAGCTTTCTTACTACATGACGCATACACTTGGAACGCAACGTCTCCACGCCAGTTGAATGCATGACGAAGAGACCCAAAAACTGGAAGAACAAACTGCGGCTCTGCAGTCACAGTTTGGTACCACTGGGGTTTTAAAAGCCCTGCAGAGACTGCAGCCCATTAATACCACTGAAGTCTTGCCCTGAGAAAGTCTGTGTCAAGATGGACAAAACACATGGGGATGAGGTTTTTATATTTTGCATTTTTTCTTTGTATCTGTTTTGCATGGATTTCCTGTATAACTAGTTTTCATCACTACATTGTCTGGTTGATACCTGGGAGTGCATCGGGATTGCTGCACCAGAAACAGATAATTCATGATCATACCATTTTTGTGGAGATGGGCTTTTATCACTTCTTCATTTTGTAAGTACTATATTTTTATTAAAAAGTAGATGATCAACTTGACGTTCTGCACCATTGTTCTCTCTTTTTTACGTTCAACAATCTGTTATGGAAGTCTGATGTTTCATGACGATGCAACCATGGAGTGTTGATTGTTGACTGTTGATTTGCAGTTTTCTTTGATTGCTCTTGTGAGTGCATTCAACACCACAATCTTCACACATTTCTCTATACGATTATCTTATGTATATTTTTTTAATTTGTCTGTAGAATCTTGTTATGAGACGATAGAGACGGTCGATTTTCAAACACTGTCTGACCTAAGGTGTGTTTATATGGCTGATAGATCCGGTTATATACTAAAGGTAGGAATACGTTTGTCTCTCTTTTTTTTTTTTTATTAAAATTATTATTTTTAAATATTTTTCATATATATTATTTCCTGTCAATACTTTATGAAAAAAAGATTTCACTGTCACTTAAAAACAAACCAAAAAAACAACAACAGTTTTTGAAGTGACAGTAGTCCTTGAATACATAAAGCTTTAGTGCTATCATTTCAGTGATATTAAATGTACAAAAACACCATCTCCATGTAATTTGGATAAATGTTTATTTTTATCATAAGACTACAGTCACAGAGGCCCAATGAGTTGCACCTAAAACACAATCTTAAATGGGCAAACAAATGTATTACATACCCTTTTAGTTCATCAGCAATACACATGCCAAATTGTTTGGTACCAGTCTCCATGCTCCTCCTGATCATTAGACGGTAGCGGGGTTCAAACACATGAAGTGGGCAAGGAATCGTAGGAAAGGCCATTGTACATACAAATATAGGTACATCTTTATTCAAGCTGTGTTCATGTAACAAAAAAATAAAAACAAAAAATTCAAATAAGTACTAGGTATGTCTAGATAACACAATGAAGTATTATAGGAAGACAATAAATCGATGTATACATATTTAGCATGCATACGTGCAGACAATAGATATCGTTGGATGATACTCTAATCTCTGAATTTGACTGGAATTCCTCTTTGTTTGACCTGAATGAGCTGGCATTTAAAACAAGGTATTCCTTGTTGTTGAATCTTATTGCATTATGTAACTCTGCATTAAGAAATTGAGCTAACCCTAGCTTAGACAGGATGAAGTAGACTTGTGCATCACGAAAGAAGTAGCTCAATAGTTGTGAAGAAAAAAAGACAAAACATAATTAAAAAACCAAAACACGCACAAAACTAAAAGTCTGTGGTCCAATATATATAGTAAAAAAAACTGTAGTGAGTGTAAGAGAATATGTTACATATATCAAACATTATACCATAATATTAAGTGAGACATATAAAGTCCCAACTACACTGTTTTAAAAGAAGAACACAAGCCGTCAGCAGAACGTTATTTAGGGTAAATCCCCATTGGGATCAGCATGCCATTTTGCTTATGAATAAGCATTAAGCACAGTTGACCTGTCACTCTGGGTTCTCTATAGTTTTTAGCAACATTAATGCTGGAATACTTGAAAGGTTTACATTATGATTTCACATAGTCATTTCTGCTCTTCTCTCTGCAACGCTGACATTTCTCTATATAGTTTATCATGATCTCCACCTAGATATCAGATGATCTCTTCCATTTTGAGATCCAAAACACATTATATAAATGGACAAGGACAATATTATGAAACTGAACATGCTGCTGTAAAATAGAGGAAAAGCTTTGTTTGACCATTTAATAATATCTTACTTTGATAACTCCTGAATTTCTTCGTCATGCAATTTCTTTCTTTCAGTAAGGTCCTCTGGCAGATACCGTGTTATCAATTCTTCAGTGAGATGTGTTTTTTTATAAGCTCGGCTTGCCAGATACTAAACAAAATAAAAATATATTATTAAGGGATTGCCTTTTAAAAGCAATAAATAAATTATTTATTTATAAGCATATGTTTAAATATTAACCTATTTTGTCCTACACACTACTAAAATGTGTGTGTATATATATATATATATGTATTACAATAGACACCCAGACCATTTCAGAGAAACTGCTATGTTTTCATTGAGGGTTAATCCAGCCTCTAGTGGCTGTCTCCTTGAGAGCCATTAGAGGCCGCTTTCATGATTCTCAGTGTGAAAATAATGCTTTCCTATGGCCGGTTTGAATGCGCATGCGGCTCTGGCCGCGCATGTGCATTCGGAGCTTTCGTCGGCAGGAGGAGGAGAGGTCACCAGCGCCAAGGGAGCCCAGCAATAAAGTAAGGTTAAGTGGCTGAATGGGTTTTAACCCCTTCAGCCCAGTGGGTGCAGAATGCCCATGATTGAATGCAGACGTGTATTTATGAGGAGTGCCTGTGTGTGATGGCTGTGGAATGTTAGTATTGAGAATGTGCGTGTGTGTATGTAAATGTGTGCAGTTTACCCCCCCACTCACTGATGCGCTCCTTGACATCTACCCCTATGTATAGCTCTCCATACCACACAATTCATTTTTCTTTCCATCTCCTCACTTGTCTCCCTTTGTCCATACACCAGCTTTCCACATTAGTCTCTCTTTGCATATCTCACCCTTTCCTCACTTGTGTCCCTCAGCTTATACCACACCTTCCTCACTTTTTCCACAGCCTCCTCCTCCCACTTGTGCCCCTCTGCCCATACACCTCTCTCCCTTACTTGTGTCTCTTTGTACTGACTCAATTTTATCAGAGTCCCTCTGTCTAGAGACAGATTACTCATCTTGCATCCCTCTGTCCATAGCCCAAATCCCTCACTGGTGCCCTTCTACCCTCTCCTCCTTGTGTCCATCAACCTCCCCTTCCTCTCCCCAATTTATGCCCGTCTGTCAATACCTTTTAGGTCACTTTGTAAATAGCCCCTTTCTGTACAGGAGTCTCTCTCCACAACCCCCTTCATTCGTCACCTACCTTTCCAAACTTGTGTCATTTTACTCATACCACCCTTCCCCTCTTGTAGACAAACTCTAGGATAAACTAATCCTAAATCTACCTAATTTGATATCCCTTTCCTACTTTTTTTATGTGTTTTAGAACACAACAACAACAAAAGCAACAGAAAACTCACCCCTATCTTTAGTTCATGACAAGATCCTTCAGCCATATACATACACCTTAGGTCAGACAGGGTTTGAAAAATGACAGCCAGTCTCCAAAATCTTCCCTGCTGCACGGAAGCAGAAAGACTATAGAAACGTTACATTTTCAAACATCCATGGTGCATGTATATGGAAGAATGATCCTGTCATATACAAAAAGATTTTTTTTTTCTCATTTATATTTACATATACTTCATATATAAAAACACAAAACAAAAGCTATTAACTTTCAAAATGTTTTATATTAAAAAAAACCTCAATTTTTTAGAGCATCAGTTGCCCTTTGAATAGGAACCAGAAAAATGGATCAGAGTTAAATATTTTTAGATTATTGGTAAGCAGGGCAGTAATAGCTAAATGTTGTCACCTTGTATTAATGCAAGTGTGTTAATTTTGGATTGTAGATCCTGTCTGTTCCACAGCGACCCATAGTGTCAGCATTTAAAGTACTAGCAGACAGACTAGAAATAGCACGTTCAGCATAAGCACAGTCTGCACAGAGGATCAGGTTACAAGTCTGTCTGCAGGCTCACCTGTCGCCTAGTGACAGTCACACCTGAGACTAATAAACAGCAAGGTTCTCAGAGGTTTCTCAAAGTCAAAGCAGCTACATGACCTTCCAAGTAGTAAACTGCAGGTGAAAGCTCTATGGGCTGTTAACCTCGTGTCCTGAGCTTTCTGATTCTCACGTGACCTGTTCTGAATTTTGCTTGCCTGAACCAACAGCAGTTTATAACACTGACCACTGAGAGCAGAGATCCAACACAGATATTTTTTGTTAGCATTTGCTTCGGTTCTCTGAAATGAGCATCCTAACTGTATCCACCTCTTTCCATTTACAAGATTGCTGCTGAAGTCTATGAATATAATATTTAAATGATCATGGGATACTAATTTACTACCTGTGTAGCTGGAAAACATGGGGGTTGATATTCAAACAAGTTAAGTGCTACCTAAGTAGTAACTATGCTATATAACAAGAACAGGCGGCACATTTTCCTGTTTTTATGTTCGCTGCATGTTTTCAATTGATCTGTCTGTGGTATGTCAGCTCACCTGTGACAGGTTTTCTTTGCAGAGAGGACAATGTGGATTGTGATCCAAGCATCGCTCAAGGCATTTGAGGCAGAAAGTGTGTCCACATGGGGTAGCTACAGGTTCATAAAACAGCCTAAGGAAATCCAAAGCAGCATGAGAAATTCATAACATCCAGTAAACATAATTACAATGCTTTACATTTGTTGCATGCATGGATAATTCATATCGTGATGGAGAAATAAAGCGCTCAGCAACATGCGACAGCATATACTGTAACTCTATACTTTTATATTTTGACCCACACTTCCATTGCATGTATTTTCAGTAAAAGGTGACTCTCGCACTACTACAATAGTGAATTAGTCAATGTTCACTCCCATGTGTTATGAGCTTGGGTAAACTCGCTCCTCCAAAGGTATGATATTGTGAACTCTTTGCATGATTCCAATGAACATTATTTAAAGAAACACTATAGTCACCTAAATTACTTTAGCTAAATAAAGCAGTTTTAGTGTATAGATCATTCCTCTGCAATTTCACTGCTCAATTCACTGTCATTTAGGAGTTAAATCCCTTTGTTTCTGTTTATGCAGCCCTAGCCACACCTCCCCTGGCTATGACTGACAGAGCCTGCATGAAAAAAAAACTGGTTTCACTTTCAAACAGATGCAATTTACCTTAAATAATTGTATCTCAATCTCTAAATTGAACTTGAATCACATACAGGAGGCTCTTGTAGGGACTAGCGAGCTATTAACATAGCAGGGGATAAGAAAATCTTAATTAAACAGAACTTGCAATAAAGAAAGCCCAAATAGGGCTCTCTTTACAGGAAGTGTTTATGGAAGGCTGTGCAAGTCACATGCAGGGAGGTGTGACTAGGGTTCATAAACAAAGGGATTTAACTCCTAAATGGCAGAGGATTGAGCAGTTAGGCTGCAGGGGCATGTTCTATACACCAAAACTGCTTCATTAAGCTAAAGTTGTTCAGGTGACTATAGTGTCCCTTTAATGCAGAATTTTGTATTTTAAAGACTTCTGGCAACTGGAACAGTTCTACCTTTTACTTTGAATCAATCCCAGAAATTTCAGCCTATACCTCTGCCAGCTCATTAAAGGGAAACTATAGTCACCAAAACAACTTTAGCTTATTGAAGCCGTTTGGGTGTATAGATCATTTCCCTGCAGTGTCACTGCTCAATATCGTCTACATAACATTTTATGAAAATATTGGATTTCAGCAGTCAACTTTAAACAACTGTTATTACATTATGTTGGTGTACCTTCAATTCATAGGCTTACATTATAATTGCTCAAGTAGTAGTTGGCAGTGGCAGATTAATGCTATGCTCTTCCTTTACACCCCTCTCCTTATTTGACATAAAAGGTTTACACAGAAAGTAATAAATGCTGGGTAGCTGTAAATTGTATAATCTCCCTTCACCTGCCCTGAACATTTTAAAGGACTGTAGGACTCTTGGCCAGTTCCTATAGATGGCTGCTTCCTTGCCTAGCAGTCCCATCTTTTTTAAATTTTCTCTTAATAAAACTATTGACAAATTTCCTTCAAATGGGTCTACTGAGGACAGAAGAATAATCTACTGGTGGTTAAGCTTAATTTATCATAATATAAATTTCAGAATATATGCTTCCTCAAACGAGTTTAGAAACAATTGGAAATTAGACCAGTTATGTTAATATATATGGATGCCAGAAAAAGAAAGTCATGTTCAACCTTCTGAGTGCATTGAAACTCCATAGGAACCAAGCAGAGGCTCAAGCAAAAGCTGGTGGTACATTTTAGTAAGGAACATTATATTTAAAAAAAAATATATATATATATATATATATATATATATATATATATATATATATATATATATATATATATATAAAAAATGTAAATAGTTTGGCACTCTCTTCGTATTCTAAGGCATCCGCCTGGGTGCCATCCGTGGTGCGTCCAATATGTAAGAAAATAAGAATCCAGGATGCACTCACAGGACTTGGTGAAAAAATATATTCTGATTTATTTAAATCATGTGCATAACGCAAAACAAACCAACCATTCTTCTATATGCACATTTTTTTGTACTTGTATATCACTGTTTTCATTCACTCGTTTATCTGCACTTTTCTTTCACTTTAACACATGTATGCACTTCATTTAGAGGTGGCTCTTAAGCACATGGTTGTACTTTTTCGATATTTTTACTCTTTTAATTCGATATTTGCTCAGAACAGATCTTCCATCTTGTTGCCCTCATCACTATTCTTGATCACATTTTTCTGCGATCCTGTATAGGAGCATAGGTGGTTTCCATGGTGATCACGTCCTGACGTGATGACGTCAGGAGGCGGTTCGTACTCACTTCCGGGTTTCGGTGTCGGGCTGAGGGTTTCACTCTGAATTGGATTGGTAAGTTCACTAATACTGTATGGGTATATATTTTAAATGTTTTGACCGTGACAATAACCTTGAAAAAGACCTGCAGGGGCAGAAACGTTGGTTGGTTTGTTTTGCGTTATGCACATGATTTAAATAAATCAGAATATATTTTTTCACCAAGTCCTGTGAGTGCATCCTGGATTATATATATATAAAAATTATTACGTAATAAAAGAATAACAACACTCGCTACAGCTGTAAGTCTTGACAATCCTCATAAGGAACATCCATGGAAGAAATGCAGCAAAGGAAGCAAATAACATTTCACTCGGCTAGTTACGCTCTCTAGAAAATCCCCTCTGCATTCGTTCTCTGACCCAACAAATTATGGTTGCAAGAATAAAGAAATTACAGAAAAACTTTTCAACAATGACAAAGGTGGGACAGTCATGATTTTGGAGTTCTCCCCTGCCATCCCAATTTCGGTCCCTGTCATCTCGATTCCAGTGACACGCGGTCCCTGACCAGCTAAATGAGAGCACCACTAGACGTGCTTGTGCTATGGGCATGATATGCCCGGTTTCTGGGCAGAACCACCCATGATGCAAGAATTTCAGTTATACCACAAGGGCTCCCTTCCACTGTCAAAGTTGGGAACTATGGTTGTCGATAATCTTACCTCATACAGAGAGAGCACTCGAAGTCAGCTGCATCCACGAGAACCATGTGAATTTCTCTTATTTTAGTTCCAGTGATAACTTGCTCACACAGGGTTTCTGTATCTGTAAAAACCAAAAAAAAAAATTAAAAAACCCCCCACAATTTCACTATTAAAGGAGATTAAAAGAAATTAGCACAGTAAACAGATATACACTATATGAGGTGTAGTAAAAATGCATACACACAGTGCGTATTTTATAAGGTACACATAAATGATATGGAGAAGGGGAACCTTTGTCCTGGAGTTCAGAATAGATTCAACGGGGTCAATTATATTCACTAAAGTTTGGATTGCCAGAAATTCACACTGATTTTTAAATATGGCCCAATATTTGGAATAGTCTTTAAATTTTGACAATGTACACTCCAATACATACCATTGGTGTTAAAAATATGCTATAAGGATTTTGGACAATGCTGACTTAAAGGGGCAATCTGCAGCCCAAATAAAAAAAATATATATAAATCATGGTTTAGTAGATATACTCCAAATGAAAAAATGCATAGATTTAATTATACTTTTCTTTCATTGTGGTATATCTAAAAACAGCTTGCAAAAGCTAAATTATTCTTGTCTGCAGCCTTTGCAAGCCCTCCCATTATAACTCAACCCAGGGTTTCTGTGGCTGTCCAATCACAGACTTCCCAATACAGCACAATTGAAGTCTTTACAAGGCAGGTGCTCTGAGCAATTGCTGCCTCTTGAATTTAGCTCCACTGAGCTAACCAAACTAGGAGTTTTTCTTTTTTAGTGTTGGAAATAATTAGTGCCCCCTCCCTTCCAGCTTTGACTGTGGTATCTTCTGTGCCCCTCCTACATATATAAAAAATCTGTACACACAAACACACTCAGACATGTAAAAACTGTATTATGGAGTTATTCAAAGATAAACTTCTGTGTTTCAAAATGAGAAATTTAAACGATAGCAGGAGAAGCTTCAACAGTAAAGTTTCTTATGTGGTCTGGATTTCCCTTTTGTGAAACTTCACAGTCTGTAGCGATTGCACAAGTATAACCCATATTGTATCAAGTGCAAGAGATACGTTGTGTACTATAACAACTGAGAGTTTGTTGTATTGCACCTCCTGGCATCAGGGTGCGCGGAGAAACTGTGCACGCATTGCAGAGTGATCCCTTACCACCCCCTCTGTTCCATCTTTGCTACACCTCTGCTTATACACAAACAAACATTGCTCATTACAACATATACACAAACACATGCACACTGCTAAATACATAAACTCACAGTGCTAAATATATTCACGCACAAAGCAAGCAGACCTCCCACGTTCCTCACATACTCAGGTGGGAGCCAGGGACCCGGAAAGCAGCCCCTTTCAATCGGCATGCTACCTGCTCTCATGGGTTGCTGCCATGCATCCATCTGTTACCTGCACACAGACACTGAGCTCTTGTGCTGCCCCGTTCTCTTCAAGGCTTGTTACTCGGTCCTGATGTTTGCCTGGATGCTGGTTGTATGGGAGATCAGCAGTGTAATTAATGCTACTGCTTGCACCTGGCAACTTTCCATCGGAGCCCATGGAGGTGGTCCTGCTGCTGTGGGTGCCTCTCCTAAAGTGTACCCCCAAACCACAGTCTGACAGGAGTACTGACTGCTGCCAAGTTAAATGTTTAATGGGATGGGCACAGATGGGACAAGGAGTAAAGGAGGGGCTAATTGCCCTCCTCCTGCCCACTTGTAGTGACACCTATGGCTCTGACACAGCATTGTGGTTTTTGCAGTTCCCTACAACATGTAGGGATTTACCATTTGCCCACCATGGTGTAAATTAAAACCATTTATAATTGTGGACCCCGTTAGATACAAAATTAGAGAAATTACACATTATCATGAAGAAAGTAGCTTTTTGAAAATGGGTAGATTGTTGTCATGGAGATACAAATCAATGCTAAGACGACCTATGGATTGTAAATTAAGTTAATTTGGCATTAAGGGTTATTCCAATCACCATGACCACATAAGTAATTTCAAGTGGTCACGGTGCCTTTGAAACACTACACATAACAGAGTTTTAACCCCTTTGCTTCTGGAGGTGTATAGCCCCTCCACTGTCAGTATCACTGGGGCGTCATTAAAAGAGAGAGAAGCAGATTGCAGTAGTCAAGTCGAGAGATGATAGAAGCATAGAGCAGCACTTTGGTTGTTTTTGAGGTAGACGTGACCTGATTTGGCAAGTGACTGGACTTGAGGTGCGAATGTGAGATAGGAGTCACAGAGAAAATCTGTTTATGCAGCCAATGCCTAAAGTATCAGAAGGCTAGTAAGGAACAGAGAACTGTGCTAATGTTGGCCAAGTGAACCCATACCTTTCTTCAGGAATTTGGCAGTGATTTCTACACTGTGAGGCTCCTCTGAATTGCTGGCATGTTTTCTCTTAAGACCTGTGCTAGGAAGACAGGAGAGAATATTTCCTGGGGTATTTTGTGCATTGTCCAGGAAATCTTTCATTTGAAACAGATCAGACTCCAGGGATGAGGCTTTGGTTAATCTGAACAGGGAGTCCTGCAGATAAGACAAAACAGGGACTGTTAGAGTACAAATTAAATTTTATTTTTTTAAATAAAATATGTCTAATATAAAGGTTTTCACATTTGGATTTGTACCTCGGAGCATCCAGCAAAGGAAACATCTTTCACAGAAGATGGACTGTTGGTGCTGTTCAAGAACACAGGTTTCAGACTGGCCTGAACATTTTCAAAAGCAGGAAAAAACACATCACACATTATCTGTGAATGGAAAAAGAGAATGTATTTAAAGGTCATTTTTATTAATATAGGCCTCTGGTCTGGCCATACTCCAACTTCCAATGACTCTTCAGATGCATCGATCTCCACTACTTCAACTAAACATTATTACATTCATTTTCAACTCTCTCCATAAGAAATATACACATACTCCCAACTTTTAGTTGTATCCTCTTGTTCTCATATTTAAAGACACTATGTTGCAGGTCCCTTCTTCTGTGCATGTAAAGTACACTCACTTTTTAAGTTTGAGGAATCCCAATGTATAATTTTACATCACACTTTATTTTTTATCCCTCTTATTTCAGCTTTATTCTAGCCTCTGTAAATTGTTAATTATTTGGTGGTCCCAGATGAATATTACTATTATTATATTTCTCAGATAGTTTAGGCTACTGAAGTTCCTCTTACAACTCAAATACTGATGTATTAAATGGCCATCAAACAAATATCCTTATAGCATATATTCAAAAACTGGTGACAAACAGGGATCGCTAGCAAGGCTCTATTTATAGCATTCAAGAGCCAAAACCTATGTCTCAATTATATTAGATTTTCCACAGTGAAAATACCCATCAGCCTTCTAGTAGGACCACAAAATCTATAATGTTGCAAGTGGCTGTCTGAGTGAAGCACTGGAGGTGTCCTTTGACAAATGTAAACACCGTCTTTTCTCAGAAAAGGCAATGTTTACAATTGATAGATTACAGGGACAGGCATTTTTGCAGCAAAAACAGATTAAAGCGGCACTGTCATGGCCGAATCCCGTTTTTTTTTTTAACCCCCCTTCCTCCTCCACTATCTCTATTTGACCCCCTAGTCATTCCCAAATGGCCCTAAGCCCCCCATATTACCTATTTTTTAATCTTTATTTATTGCCCCGATCTATATTCAGGGCGCCGCCATCTTTGTGTGGGTAGAGGAAGTCCCTGTGGGACATGTCATCTGCCCACACTAGATGGACTGTGAGATTCCCGCACATGCCCAGTTAAACACTTGGACATGCGAACGGGAATTTCATCTATTCATTCATTCATCAGAAAGCTGAATTAATGGATAGCATTGTCAGACAAACAAACAAGCACTGAGTATCAGTGTTCGTTTGTTCGTGCAGTTTATTACAAGGAGGGAGCTACTGGCACACAGCTCCCTCCTTGTAATATGTAACGCTAGAAGCGGCAGGGAGCAGTGCTCCCCGCCACTTCATAAGCCCCACAGGTCCCCCCTCACTCTATGGGGGTCAATATGACCCCCATAATAGCATAAGGGAGATTAAAATCTCCACAGTGCCCCTACTAGCTATACCGCGAGTAGGAGCAGCCACAGACTGCTCACTGTTTAAAAAAAAACCTACTAAATAACAATAAGGAGTTTCATTCATTCGAATGAAATTGCGATCCGAACAAAGTCCCGAATTGCATCCTAACACGAATGGAGAAACTGTTCTCATTCTGTTAGGATGCAATTCGGTAGTTTTGCCGGCGTTCTGTCTAAGTGACAGGACGTTCGGCAATACTGACAGGAAGCATCGTGGGAACAGGGAGGAAAGGTGAGAATTGTGCGGAAATTGCTCTGACCAGCGGAAATGAAGCACACTTTGCTCCTCCGCTGGTCAAAACTGGTCACGCGGAGGAAACCTCCATAAGGCAAAGAGTCCCTACTTTGTCTTACGATTTTAAAGAAAACTAAAGAAGACAGGAAGAAAAGAAGAACAGATCCTGAGAGAGGGGGAGAAGAGGAAGAGATTGAGGAAAGGTAAGTTCGGCATGACAGTGCCGCTTTAAGCTGTAGTGGTTCTGGTGCAGACAGTGTCCCATTAAAGTGTTTTAACCTGTTATATCATTGCGATAGCAGTAAAGATTACAAATATTGAATGCACAAGGAATCATTAAACTAACATGCTGCAAACTGCAAGCCATTTATGCTACTGCAATATTGTCCTATCCAGTCCCACAGCAGGAGAGTTGTCCTGGCTACACGTTTTCAGTCCTGTTTTCATTTTAATGTGCATATTTACTTTTTATCCTGACAGCTCTATTATCCTAATAGTTCTCTGACTGTCTGTTTACTTACTTTGCTAACTCTGCATGATGCATTGCTCTTGAATATCACCCTTAAAGCAGGAAAACTAATACTTTAATAGAACTCTACCTGCTAAAATTAAGATGCTTGGTTTTCAGAAAATTAAGCAACCGCCTCAAAAGAAGGATTAGGGGATTAGGCACATTCCTTTATAAAATTAGAGTCCCAGCACATTTTGTGTCACGGAAGAGTTAAAAAAGGGGCTGACTTGTCTTTTGGAAAACAAAATATGACGGGCAATGCAATTTCTTATATTTATTTAATAAAATAACAACATGTGACATTATAGCACTTAGCTACGTCACAAGCATGTGATTAGTGTCGCAGTCCAGTAACAGCTGTGAGGGTCACAGATTGACCCTTATTAGAGTGTTCCAGGAAACATCCAATACTCTTACAAATTGTTGGCTCATCCACTGCCTGTCAGGAGGAATCCTGAAGATCTGCCAGGATTATCACCTTGCTTTAAATTAAGTGGACAGCTTCAGCCATGGTGTGCTTAGAAAATATATACAAACCCTATCCAGTGAATAAGAGACACGTTAGTTGATTTCCCCAAACATGCTCATCACTCTGTAAAAGTAGATATTCTTAAAAAGTAGGGCATAAGTGTAAAAGGAGCTGATTTTCTACTATCTTTGCGCACACTAAAGTGTCTTGACCTATTTTGATACATAAACCCTCTTTTGCTTTCTTTACAAGTGGTGTGCGCTTGATGGGTTTATTAAAAGTAGCCACCAATAAGATGAAAATATAGGTCAACCCAGGATTTTATTTCCCATTAAAGAGAAAGTAATGCTTTCACTCAGGGTCAGTATATACCAGTAGGCACACTTTATATAAAGGTATTTAAAAAGAAATGGAAAAATTATACACGGTGTCTTATTTACACTGCTATTATTCATGGAATACAGTTAGTTGTTTACTCTTATCTGTATAGGTTTTTCCTCTTTGGCCATAACTTGAATTTTAAGGTTTTTGATTGGCTAGAAACATCCTGCTGCCGGACAGAATATAGTTTTTTTTGGTTTTTGTTTTTCCCAGTTTTCCTTTTAGTCTCTCTCTGCATTGCATTCTAAAATGCAAACGATTCAGTATCAGCAGAATGTGTAACAGATAAGTGGCATTACTTCAATATACATATCTCTGTATGGATTTCTGAGCTATGGAATTCCTGCCCTTGCAATGACTAGTAAAGGAAAACACATTTTCAAACTGAACCATATCAACAAAGTGAAATAATATAGAGGAAGCCAGATAAGTCTGACATATGTAATGAGCTACCTTTTGTGCTTCAGTCTTCATTGAGCTCCATTCAGGATTTATAGCAACACAATACAAGAACTCCTTCATAGCCTCTTCAGTTCTTCCTAGTCCAGAGAGAGCCTGCGCTTTCATAGAACGTGCCTGCATACATAGCAACGTGACATGCTTTGAAAGAGATTAACCAAACATCTTGTACCACGCTTTCTAAAAATAATCTCCACTAAACTAGCACACAGGATTACATTAACTGCAAAGGACATGATGTTCTCAGGAGGCAAAAAAACAAAACAAAAAAAAATGACAGAATTAAAATAAGTACAAACAATGTCTTTTGTTCCACATTGATAAAGGGCATTAGCATATTTGCAAGAAATAGTTTATAACAGAACGGTGTACTAAGTGGCACCTTTAATGCGAAAGTGCATGAGACCACCGTGGCATTGATTACAGGCAAATTATTATGCACCTAAAGACTACTGATGGATTAAATTGGTCAGCCAACAATAGGACCAATAAACGCATTATATTTAAATTAAAAATTAACACCCTTCGCGTAAACATGGCAGAGTGCGCACAAACTGATTAAAATGTTGTGCACCACCCTGACAATACAAGGATTATTATACAAAGCCTGGTCTTGGGAAGCATTTTTAGGTTAAATTTTACTAGAATTTAAATTACTCAGGGATTTTTTTCTTTGTTTAAATAAGAAAACGAACTTTGTAAGGCTTCATGTGAAACAAGTATATCACTACGAAGTTGGTCACTGTTTTTTGTTTTCTGCTAAATACATGTAATTAGCTTCACACATAAAAGGGAAATTTTAATAATTGCACAGTGCCTAGTCCCATATACACACACATTTTTTTATGACATACATATCGGGCTAGCAATACTACGTTACAGTAACTACAGCCTACATTTGCCATTCACTGGGTTAAGCCTCTTCTAGTAATTGCGGCCTACGCTTGCTATCAAAGGAATAAATTTGTGCAGATAATCTGAAAGTGACAGTTTTATATGAGAACGCCATATGAGGTGTAGTGCATTAGGTGTCTGAAGAGCCACTCAAAAATGACACACTAAAAGACTTCTTCAACCAGAAATGCTACAGCAAGCTGTAATATATCTCCCAATGGTGAGAGGTATAGAATGCAGGAATATGATGTGAGGCCCAAAAAGAGGCAGGAGGGAGCATACCCACCCAGTAATGAATAGGAACATTTGAAAGGGAGCATGACGGTCTTCCAAGCTTTGCCCAATCAGGGCAGCCATTCTCAAAGAACTGTTAAAGATCTATGTTAATTGGCTTAATGCACCAAATGAACCCCAAATTCACAGGACAGCTGAGAAGTATGTTGTAGTCGTTTTTGTACTTAGAGAATGCTTAGTAATGTCATGTTTGAAGTAAAAACCTAAGGTGAAAAATATTGCTTTAAATTCAATGCCTCCTGTTTAAAAATTGTGAAAAAAAGATTATTAAAACTTGAACCTGGAACCGTATCCTCACAGCTTCGCTATCCTGCTTTAGCAGTGTTAGGTACCATGATACTATACACGAAAGCACCAAAAACCTTTCATTTTGATTTAGTCTGACTGTCACAATCTATTCTAGATGTCAGGAGGAATCTATCTATTCTAGATTGCCAGAGTAAACAGACAGAATTAAGATGTAGTGGTTTGGTGTCCCTTTAAAGTTAGATTATGGATCAGGCAACAGTTGTTCTGTACATTAATCACTTTGAAGTACAATATTTGGTCATCATAATGCATTACTGACTAATGTAGAACATGTGGCATATTAGGTTCGACATCCACACATTATAATTTACAGATTTACCTTTGGCCAGAGAAGATGTTTTCTGCACATATTATCTGCATCAATCAAGGCCTGCTTGAAATTCTTCATGGCTAAATGAAGCTCTGTTCTTCTTACTGCAAGGAGGAAGTCACCTGGAGCTGGTGGAGCGGGAAGAGTGAATTTCTGGTCAAAGGACAGCACACAAATTCTGTCTTAAGTATAGTTATCTATTATGTAGAAACTAAAGTGTCAGTTTTCACACACAATTTTTTATTTTTTTTAAATAGAAAGTTGGCATGTATATTGAACTAGGAGCTCTTTGGACCACAGTGACATACAAAGAATATATTAAATGGGATGAGTGGGAGTGGAGAAAAAGGGGGGAGAGGAGGGGGAAATTGGGGTAAAAATTAAAGCAATTTAATACTGGCCAGAAATAGGCACACATTTTCCTATTGTGAAAGGAACAACATCCTGCTGATCTTTTCAGTCAATACATTTTCTACAGAGCGTGCTGCCCTATATTTAGAAAGCTGAAAGCAAGCGACACACTGTGCACACACAGCAATATTATTATACAGGAACATCAGAAGTGCCAATTTCTGATTGTGTACACTAACAAAGCGTGACAAATAGCGGGAAAAAAAATTAAAGTAATAATTCAGGAGAGCACAAAACATATACATACCACTTCATTACTGATGCCAAAATTACTTTAATCACTTAATGGTCAGTGATATTACATGAGGTCATCACAATCTGGACCCTACAGACCCAATACCAGGTTATAAATTGCAGCACTATAAAGGCTTGCCACAGTGAAGAATAACTCTACAAGTAGCAGCCCGCAATAGTGGTTGCGGTACCAGTAGTGTACTAACACCCTCGCAGAGTCAGTTTTCAAACTATTTTAGAGCAGTTTAACACCTGGGTACCCTGGGCACACATGTTGCAACCGGTCTTCACCTGCTAGACAATCTGTATGACTTCACTAAGCTAAGCAGGTCTGATACAGTCAGGGTCCAAGTAAGTTTATCCATCATTATTCCATCATTGGTCCTCATGGAGTTCAAAGGATACTATAGGCACCCAGAAAACTTCAGCTCATTGAAGTGGCCTGGGTGCAGTGTCCAAGCCCCCCTTAGTTCAGCAACGTAAATCACTGAAGTTTGTTTTTTGTTTTTTTAGAAACTGCAATGACTACATTGCAGGACTAAGACTGCCTCTAGTGGATGTCAGACAGCCACTAGAGCCACTTCCTGCTTGCAGGTGACCTAACTGATCCTGAACGTCCTCACCCTCTGCATGTGGACAGCCAGTGTCAGTAAAACCCCCATAGGAAAGCATTAAAGCAATGCAACACCGTGCATACACGTTAGTCCCTCCCATCAAGTGAAGGCGGAGCGTTGGCTTGGCACTCAAGGAGATCAGCGCTAGAAACTTAGTTTGGATCTAGAAGTCAGTCCAAAACAAAGGATCCAGACTCTTTATGAAGGTTATTGCATCTATAAACAACTACCACTGCCCCACACCTACATATTCCATACAGCAAGTCACAACATTGATACACACCATCCACCCATATCACATACATTATACAGTAAAAAAAAAAAAAAATGTTTTCATCCCCTTTACAGTATTCATTTTGATTCTGCATGTTTCCTATTTCTTTACATAAAGATTTTAAAAATGAAAACAATGTCCAATTGTAATAATTCTTCCAAAAAAAAAAAAATTTAATAAAACTTTAATCCTAACTATGCACCCCTAAAGCCATTTACTAAGAATAACAATATATAAAAAGAGAGTGGAGGCACAAAGGAAATAAATACAGAACGCCGGTAAATTGTGTATTACCCAAAAATGATACCATTGAGGTGTTTTGGAAACATCATAATAAACTAGAGATCAAAGTTTGAGTTTATAATTGTATCCAGTACCCACGAAATTATATGATATTTATAGATCTATTATATTTTATATTACATGGTATATTAAGGTTAGGGTTAGTCTTAAAGAAACAGTCCAAGAACCATGACCACTACAGCATACTGTAGAAGTTGTGGTGCCAGGAGTGCCCTGGTGAATCCCATATTAAATAATGAAACAGTTTTACAACAGTTTGGCTCCTTAACCAACTCCCTGCTTTTTTGCAACCTACAGGAGAGCCAAAAGCTCATTCTGGGAGCTTCGGTTATGTTGTGCTAAGCCGTAGAGTGCACGGCCAGCAAATTGGCTGAGAGTCTCAGTTGACTGCTCTCAGCCAATCAGCTGAGCCCTGTATCGCTGCGCTTTGGTCAGGGTGGAGAGATTCCAGCTGTTGTGGAGGCAGGAACTGCTGCACACAGACATTAGGTAAAAAGTAAAACCATTAGACTGCTTAGACTGGTGGTGTGCCTTATGGCACCATAACCACTACAGCACGCTCCAGTGGTTATGATGCTTGTAGTGTTCCTTTAAGGTAATGTAGCAGTAATGCCTTGTGCTAGGGAGGGTTAATGGGTAGAACTAGGGTAGTGAAAGAGTTAATGTTTGTGTTGGTGATTAAGGGGACGACTTTGTTGTAAAACCTTCCCTGTGACATACAATTCGAAGTGCTGCCTGAGATTAGTGGGAGCTACAGTCCTGGACCCAAAACTGTACAAAAATGGTTTGCGTATTATTCCACTATTCATTACACAAAATAAAAACAGAGATGACATTACTGCAGTACTGATATAAAACAAGACATACCTGTTGAAATAACCATGTCATTTTTATAATCATACTATAGACCATGGGTCGTCAACCTGGTCCCTACCGCCCACTAGTGGGCGTTTCAGGATTCCAGGTGGGCGGTAGGGATTTGGACAGCTAAATCCCCCGTTTGAGAGAGTGGGTGGCAGGGCCGGACTGGCCCAGCTGGGGCGGGGCTGACAGCCTTAATGATCATTTTGATAAAGCCTCCCCTCGGACTGTGCCAGACTATCAGTCCGAGGGGAGGAAGGAGGGAGGAGCTGGGGGCTGGTGTGGCTGCCAGCGGCTGCAGGGAGACCTGTCAGTCTCCCTGCACAGTCTGAAATCATTATAGCCGCATACTCCGCCCCCAAACGGAAGCTCCGCCTCCCGCTCAAAGCTCCGCCCCCATGCACGTTACTGGGAAGCTGCCCACCGGACCAAGAGGACACCGAAAGGTATTTACTTTTTTACAGCCCCCTACCCACTATATTGCCCCCCTACCCACCTCACAGCGCCCCTACTCTCCTCACAGGCCCTCTACCCACCTCACAGCCCCCCTACCCACTACACTGCCCCCCTACCCACCTCAAAGCCCCCCTACCCACTATAGAGCCCCCCTACTCACCTCACAGCCCCCCTACCCACTATACTGCCCCCTACCCACTATACTGCCCCCTAACCCACTATAGAGCCCCCCTAGCCACCTCACAGCCCCCCTAGCCACTATTCAGCCCCCTACCCACCTCACAGACCCCCTACCCACCTCACAGCCCCCTACCCACCTCACAGCCCCCCTGCCCCCTACCCACTATACTGCCCCCTACCCACTATAGAGCCCCCCTACCCACCTCACTGCCCCATCCCACTATAGAGCCCCCCTAGCCACTATAGAGCCCCCCTACCCACCTCACAGCCCCCCACCCATTATAGAGCCCCCCTACCAACCTCACAGACCCCCTACCCACTATACATCAGCCTTACTTTTGTTCATTGGAATGTAAAAGAAAAGCATAAAAAAGGAGATAAAAAGGAAAAGATAAAAAAAAAAAAAGGAAGGAAGAAAAATAGAAAAAAAGGGGATAAAATAAAGGAGGAGAGTACTTGTAAAAAAAAGGAGAACGAAGGAGCAGAGTACTTGTAGCATTGGAGAAAGAAGGAACAGAGTACTTGTAGCATTGGAGAAAGAAAGAGCAGAGTACTTGTAAAAAAGGAGAAAGAAGAAAAAGAAAAAGGAGAAAATTGTTGTTGGCTAATATAATAATAATAATAATAATAATAAGTGGGCTACCTAGCTCAGCCTTCCTGCTGGGCATTGCTATAACGAAGGTTAAAAATTAGGAAAAAGGGGGAAAAAAAAAGGTGGAGAGGTGAATTGAGGAGGGAGAGAAGGGGAGCTGATGCACAGATGAGAAATCATATTACGCGCAAACAGTGAAATCGTTTGAATATCACCGAAAGAGAGAGACCTTTGCTTGTTCCTTATGAAAATCGAACCAGATATCAAATATTTAGTCTCGCAGCATCAACCTCAAATATCTCATTAATCACTAGTAAAGGTAATTTAAATTTACTTTATTTTCTCATTATATTTTATAAAGTTAACAACATTATAAACATGCATAAAGTAGAAATAAAAAGATAAATGTATGTACATTTTTTTTTTATTTTTTTTTTTTAAAACACCCTCCTTTCTAAAAAATATTCTGCACTTGCGCGAAAACTGGTGGGCGGTAAGGAAATTTTTCCATCAAGAAAGATGCATTAGTGGGCGGTAGGTAGAAAAAGGTTGACTACCCCTGCTATAGACAGACAAGGTTTGCTTGTTAAACCAACAGTCTGGAACTAGCCAACTGCAATTATATTCCTTGCCAAGTATGTTTTTCTCTGTGTGCTATAAGTTTTTATTGCTTCACTGGAACCTCTTCCAGGAGGAGATATAACCATCTCTGAATTCTCCATGACATACATTGTTGATAAAACACAGTAATTTCTCACATAGTTATCTCTCCAATACCCTTCCTAAGTCACATGACAGAACAGTAAACACACTGTCTCTGCTTGCGTTCTGAGGATGTTACTAGAAGGAACTGCGGCTCTATGCTGCTTGAGAGATAATGGTCTACTATGATTTTTATCAAACAGTATCTCATTTGTGATTTGCAGTTACAGTTCTGTAAAAAAAAAAAAAAAAAAAAAAATCCTTACAATGAAATTTACTACCCATGTCATGTCACTATTTTCGAATTGTTTGACAGAAAAAGTGTGTGTCACAGTATCCCAAATAGTCATCCACTCAGTTAAATAATTATATGATACAGTGTTACTTTCCTCACTCTATATCCTAAAATATTTGAACAGGTAAGGGAGATCAGAAACACTGTTAATCTTTCTTGCATCGCTGAATTGATACAGGACTCACATTTCATCAATGCTACTAGAAATAAAAAGTGCCAAAAACGGTCAGACGCACATCGCAGCAGCTCTGAGCGTTCACCCAGAAATATCAATCCTGTGCTGCAATTCATTGCCCCACTCGGGCTCCCTGCACCATGGGGAAAAAGAATAAAAAGCAGCGCGCAGATCCTGGATTGTCTCCGGAGATATAGGGGCTTTTCTTCGCGCAGCCTCACGGCCTAAAATTCCCTAGATGGCGCAGTTCGAGACCTATACCTCAGTGTCTTCAGACCAGGAGAGCACTTAAGCCAAGCCTAAAACACCGAACCGGGCTAGACAAACACCCTAGGGGCATCTGGACATGGAAGACTCTGCACCTTCCACCAAGGCAGATATTAAGGCTCTGATGCAGGATTTTAAGTCCATGTTCCAAGCGGACATGACACTGGTGCGGGAGGACGTTGCCACACTCGCCAACTGGGTGGAAGTGGTAGAGGAAGGCATGGGGGGGCACCAGACTAGCACAAAATGCTACAGCGGAATATGTTTCCTCTATCTTTACCTGTTGCAGTCTGTAAGAAGTGTTCCCTATAATGTTTAACTAACCCTTCACCACTGGCTCTGTAAGCTACCGATTAGTCCCCATGTTAAGTTACTTCCACTCCCACCTCCTTATTTTTAAAGCAGTTTTTCAGTTTAATATATGCCCTTTTCAATACACTCAGCAAGCAACCTAGGCCTTCCTACCCAGCAATAGCAAAATGCTAACACACAGCCCTAGACCAGACGAGAGTGGGCTGAATAGCTTCTCAAAAAAACTAAAATTGGGTAGCTCCAAAATATATTTGTTAAGATTGTTATTCTCATTGTTTTATGCCGAACACATGTGACTATGTTATCATGCTGAACCCACAAAAATAAAGAATACAAAAAAAAAAAAAAAAAAGTGCCCCAAATACCACTTCCATATATTATTCCAATATTTCTGAGGCATAATGAGAAAGGTGACCGTTATGTCATCCCAAGCTAAGGGGGTAGGCTGCAGGCCACAGGCCTCAAAAATATTTAGTTTTTCTTTCCCCCCCTCCCCCCCCCTCCCAAAACCAAGGATGACCACACCTGAAGAGACCTGTACCCTAACCACTAAAATGATCTTTAGTGGATGTGTGAAATTGTGAGGATACCAAAAACTAGCCAAAAGTCCTCCATTGCTTTAAATGCACAATACAGACTGGTGTTGGCCCAAATATTTCAGCATATCACATATGTTATGCATTATAGCAAACATTTGAGCATTCTTGTATTCATTAAATTTTAAAAAGTATATGTAGCATAGAATCCGAGTGTATTATTTAGTAATGTGAAAATATCTATAATTGCTCAGTCCATATTCTGGCTTACCATTGCTCTATCGGGATAGCCATATTTAAATAGTGTTTCAAAAGCACAGTTTATAAGTCCGAAGGCCATGCAGTTAAAGGAACACTTTAAACACCATAACCACTACAGCTCCCTGGGATTCAACGGGAAGAGCTCCTTGCTTCCACTACGAACACAAGAGAGCTAGACGTTCATAAACAGGAACGTCAGTTAGCTCACCTGAGTGGTGACCAGTGGAGAGAGAGACAGACCGTGCATCAGGTGACACTTAGTCAATGAATGATGTCCAAAGTTGGGCAAAACTGATGGAGATAAAGTGAGAACTTTCTTCTCAATGGTAATGATCTCAGCAGATAAGTGAGGCCGCCCCCATATAGCGAAGGTAAGCAAAGAGATCCACAAAAAAACTATACTAACTCATATGTAATCACTAAAAAAAAAAAAAGCAGTGTTTTCGAAAACAGAAGTTTAGTTTTATTAAAACCTCAGAAATTTCTGCATATGCAGAAAATCACTAGCACTTGTGCAGCTTCCTACAGAGGGTTGGTCCCAGACTAGGAAGTAGCCAACAAATATCTTCCAGTCACTGCCCATGCTGCTCAATCAATATATGGTGGATATGTCGTAAGCACAGGGCAGAAATTCCATTCAACAAAATATGTGAAAGAAGTCACTGTCTAACTCAATGTTTTGTTGAAGTGAAACTAGTTCAATGTTATTACATTATTTTTAAAGTTATTTGCCTACTGGCATGTCTGTGACCTTTGTGCCCACTCTTAATTTTTAAAAATTGATGCTAAATAATCTGTTACTTACCTTGTTTCCATCTCGGAGACTCAGTCTGTGAAACCATCTGTTCCGCCTCCCTGATGTCTTCTCTTCTCTTCTCTTCAGCGACTTATCCAATGTTTCTCAAAAAGAAGCATTGTGGATGCAAAGCACTGCACTCCTTACTGCTACTCTATGAGAAGCATTAAAGAATGGAGCCTGACTTGGCTGTGGGTGCACAAGCACCATCTAGCGTTTAGCCATGCAATGTAAACATTGCTGTATCTCCAAAACAGCAATGTTTTACATTGCAAGACAAAACCACAGGGCAACTGCATCCTGACCACTTGAGAGGAGAATAAATGGTCAGGGTGAGTATAGTGGTCCTTTGATGAAGCTATAGACACAAATGCACTAAAGCTATGAAAGAGCCTGATAGAGAAGGGGAGAACTTGCACGGCCCAGAAAGAGTGTTCGACATTACACGAGGAAGGTTATGGTTCCCCACACTAGTCAGTGAGGGGACAGGTGAGCTTGTTGCTGCAGTGATTTATCAAGGTTCTTCTATGTCAAATTCCATAGAATCTTACTGTTCTATCCAACTTTTTCTAAATATTTCTGTTTTTACATTTGCTCATTCAATGCACAGCCTCCACCACCTACTCACCCCTCCCCCCCATTTACTGTTCCCACTAAACACAATTTAAGAAACAAAAAGTTAACTAGCAGATGATAAACTTTATTCAAATTTTTTTGAATTTTTTTTTTTCAGACATGTATATACAAAAAACTATGGATTTTACAGAGAACAAATAATTTTAAAAAAAAGACAGACGATAATCTGTTTTAGAGACAGCTTCCGAACAAGAGTGAGTAATTGAGCGGATTACAAATTACAATGAAAAGCCTTTGCCAAGACTCTCTGTTCAGCTGTCTCCAGGTAACCTAGAGCCAGCACTCACTTTCTACGGACACGCGTAGCAGATGACAGCAAGATAACAATGAATGCAAAACAGTCAATTGGAAAGGAGGACAAAAGAAGTTCATTATCTGAAGTGGCCCTTTTTAGATGTAGAAGACAAACATGTCATTGGCATGTTTTAGCCAATGTACAAACAAATGATGTAGACATTCTTGGAATTTATATTCCAGATTTCATTCATTGAAAACAAGTTACAGAAATAAGAAAAATCTGTGAGTTTACGGACCATGAGCATCACTTGTGTGCACACATGCCATAAATACAGGTTTCTCCTATCATTCTGTGAATCATATCTATAGGAACTGGCACAGATGCAGGAAGCGACATAAATGAGGGACAAGTGGAGGAATCGTTCCTGTATTGGGGGTCCTGGGCATTCTTTGCACAAGCCATGGAATATCTGTGTATGCAGAAGCTGCAAACTCTGGGTGTTTGAGGGAGAGGTCAATTAGCACTCAGCAGCAGTTTTATTTCTATGCAGGAATTAAACCGTTGTGCAAGCTAATAGAAGCAGTGCAGCGGCTTCCAGCAACATGTTTTTCATTAATCAAGAAAGTTGTGAAGGTGCATGTGCGACAGGTGACCCGAATGGGGTGTGTGAATACTCCACATATGGAAAATGTACAGAAAAGGGGAGCACAGCTTTTCCTGTGACATTTTCAAGCAGATGGCTCAAATGAGAACTGTAAATGGGCTGCTATGTAAATCAAGCATGTCAAACATGCAGCCCACCATGGGTATTTTTTATGCGGCCCAAGGGCTGCTTTGTGCTGTGGTCCTCCCGTGGCCCATGGCAGATCACATGCTCCATCATATGGAGTCATATCCGAGGTCTCTACAGTGCGCAGAGTGGCTGTGTGCAGAGCAGGTCAGCCACTCCCCCTTCTCTGCTGCTCGCAGTGCCAAAGAAACGTGTCCTGCTTGAGCAGAGAAGATCATGCAGGGCTGGACTGGAAGATGGCTTATGGTAGGGGAAAAGGGGCTCAGGGGAACCTTCCTGTAGTGTATTACATTTGTGGGGCAATGTACTAAATTGGGGGGGTAGGAGAGGAGAGTGGAGTGGTGTATTACAGTGAGGGGGGCAGTTTATTAAATTGGGGAGGAAGGAGGTAGGGGCATTGTACTAGAGTAGTGGGAAGGGGGCAGTGTGTTAAATTGGTGGAAGGGCGGAATTAAATTAGAGTGGTGGGAGTGGGGGCAGTGTGTGTGTATTAGATTGGGGGGGCATAGTAAGTAACTTAAAGTGAAACATTTGAGTAAATATATATATATACACATACATATACATACACACACACACACCCAGGATTGCATATTGTTTGCATGAGAATGATAAATGTAATTTTAGTTTGTGTTGGTCTAGGTCAGTGAAAGCGAACCTTTTTGGGCCAGAGTGCCCAAACCGCAATACATGCCAAATTTTTTTCCTCAAAGTGCCAACACGGCAATTAAATCTGAATACTGAGGTTTAAGTTTAGAAGAAACAACTCGTACAGTCCACTAGATACACGCACACAGTCCGCTGAATACACACAAACAAAAACAGACTGCTGAATATGTACACATAGTCCGCTGAATACACACAGACTGCTGAATACATTGTACAGCGCTAGGGAATCTGATGGCGCTATATAAATAAACTAATAACACACACACACACACAGAATGCCGAGTACACACAGACAGACTGATGAGTTCACAGACTGCTGAATACATACACACACACACATACTCTGCATTGCTGCCGACCGGCGCTAGTGGCCCCCACCAGTCCAGCAATCAATGGCCGCGTGCCCACAGAGAGGGGTCGCCATGCCACAGGTTCGCCATTACTGGTCTACGTTAACTCTTTTTGCAGCCCACATAGACTTAAACCTTGTTTATTTGGCCGGTGTTAGCCTTTGAGTTTTGACATGCTTGTTTTAAATCATAGATCTCAAAATCTTGTCCCGCAGCTGCTCATAGCTTACAACTCCCAGAATTCTGTGAATGCAAGCTATAACTACCCATACTTTATTGGGAGTTATGGAATTGGGACTGGTGGACAGGCCTACCAATGACAACTTGCATCGCACGGGATGCCCAAATGGGTGGGCCAGGATGAAGTGCTCTCTGCATGGTCCTAGTGCCTGCAGTACAGCAATTCCATGTCCCTGACCAGGGACAGTTGCCAGATGCAGATACCTGAGATAACCTTAGGGTCGGGTCAGGGGTTGTAGTTCAGCTATTGGGGGTGAGTGGGGGAGAAAGAGGAGGCAGCATTTGAAATGCCTGTTGTAAATAATTTTATATGCAAGAGATGGAGAGGAGAAGAGGTGCAGACAACAACAACAACAACAAAAAAAGACATAACTTGTGATTTATTTATTTTTTTGGTGTACTGTTTACAACACATATCGGCATATATTTTTATAAAATCTTGGCAGATATGAGGTCCTTTTTAATTTGGAGATGGCTTGTAATGTGTGAATGATTCCAGCAATATAATATTTGAGTAGCAGAAAATGACAGCTATCACGAGTTCTCTCTATACTATTTACGTTCATTACCAGACTGAAGCTAAAAATAATTATGCCAACTTAATCACTTCTCCCACACTTGCCCTATTTTGAAGCTTACTTCCTTCAGGCTATTTAGGCATAATGACTTCCTTTGTGTCATTCATTAAAATGTATCCCATTAACCCACTAACCTGGCACTGCCAGGATTATATTCCATCAATAGTCTGTATACAATTAGTCAGATTTAATCTCCTCACTATTAGATAAACACATCAGGGTCTACAATGCAATGCAACGCAACGCAACGCAACATGTATCATTGGCACAAGGTTTTAATTTTTGATATATTTATTTTAAACATGAGCATTATTGATGGTGTTTTCTTTGTAATATATATTTTAAAGGAACACTATAGGCACACAGACCACTTCATCTCTGTGACCCCGTTTTAATCCTGCAATTGAAAACCATGGTGTTCTTTGGGAAAGGATTGGGTTGGCGAAGATAAATAATCTCAATGATGTCAGCTAAGGAGGCAGAGTTTTGATGTTAACAAAAGTTAAACTCCCTTTGTTAACACTTGCAGTGGGGGCCCGATCACCTAAACAGTAACTGGGCCACTATGGCATTAGGAATACAAATTTGTAATCCTAATGCTATTGTGTTCCTTTCATTTGATGAATGCTTGGCAGATTAGAAATAGGTGTTTAACCCTTTAATGACAACTTCTGGAATAAAAGGGAATCATGACGGAATATTTCCGTCAAGTGTCCTTAAGGGGTTAACAGTTAGGATTATGAAAATTGCAGCAGTGTAGAGAGAAGGCACAGGCCTCCAGACAGGTGACTATAGGTGATGAGACATATCAGTAAGGAACTCAAATCAAGTTACTATGTTGCAATCTAGTATAGACACACGTATACTGCCCGACAGGAGGAAGCACAGCACGCTAATTCCAAACAGCCAGATTGCACATGTCAGCTGATACATGGACTTCATTTTGCATGAAATTTAACAGTTTTCAACTGTTCGATCCACAGGACTTAAAATATATGAGCATACAAAACGAAGCCAAAAGAGCAATACAAATTAGAAGCAGACTATAGGCATTTCAGCTCATTAAATTGGTTATAGTGTTGGGAGTCCTCTGACACAGTCCCTCCAATTCAATGTTACAGCATTTTTGAGCAGGTTAATACAAAGTGTCTTAACCAGCCAAATTCCATCCCCTATTAAAGGCAGGGCTAAGGCCAATATTATGTATCCAATACCATACCAATTCATACCAGCAATTGGCGCTGATATAGGCCAAAAGTGGTCAGCCAGCACAATCAGAGCTGCCCATCGTTACTTAACCTAATGCTTACTCATTAGCCCAAGCAGCACAAAAAGGATATGATTCTAGGGGCGACTGTTTAACGTTAAAACACCACAAACCGTTTACTGCTGAAAGGAAGGATGGAAGCAGGGGACTATAGATACTATAACCACTTAAATGAGATAAAGCGGTTACAGTGCTCCTTTATGTAGGAGGGAACACAATAGGGGGCCCTCAAAACCTACAATACAAATATGAGGAAGAAAAAAAAAAAAGAAAAGAAAAAAAATGTTTGTTTGTTTGTCTGAACAGCCCCTTTAATGCAAATGCTGTTTAATCCAGGCATTTTTGGATTTTTTAAATCCTTTAAAGGATCACGATTTGGTCAGGAACACAAACATGTATTCCTGACCCTATAGTGTTAAAACCACAATCTACACCCCCTGGTCCCCTCATGCCGCCATAAATATATCAAAATCTTACTGTATTCAAGACTGAACCTGTAGATCTGCATGCTGTTTGCCTCAGAAAAATAAGCAGTCTGCTTGTAAATAGGAAGGAGCAGAAGAAGAGGTATATAGATTTCTTACTGGAGTGAAAAACCATCCTGGAACAATATTCTCTAACAATGAACTTTACAATGACATTTGGTGGCATATGAATTTGAATTCGGAAGAAACACATCAATTAACAAAAGAAACCTTGATGCAATACATTTTTTTCCCTGTATCAGAAATGTGTCAGTGACGATGTGTAATATAATAGAGATACTATAATTAATGGTATAAAATAAACACATAATGTGTTAATTACAAAGGTGGATAGACTTTGTAAATATCTGAAACGCAATTGAAGATTATTGCTAAAATGCCAAATGCAACTGCAGTCTGGCCTACAAACAAATATATTAGACATAACGTATAAGAGCATAGTAGCTGATTACCCAGATAATTGAATCATGATAGTTAAAGATCATATGATTACAATAACAACTGCAATAATGAATGTTTTAACCTTAAAAGAAAATGTGAAATGTTTTTATTATTAAATATTCGTTTAAGTTTGCAGAGTGGTATAATTAATATAAGTGAAGTACTTCAGCAGTTAAAATTCAACTGAAAGACAGGCAGAAACTTTACTTCAACTATCATAAAGTTTATTTATAAATGATAAAAATACTCAGTCTGCCAGAGCTAAGGCCAGTCAATGGAAAGTAAAAGAGTATTATGGATTAACCCATCCAGATGATATACATGATGATTTTGGAAATTGATCATTTAGGTCACCTATTGCAAATTGGTAAAAAGATGTCAAATATATAAATTCAACATCCATTCCACTCTATGTATATATATATTAAAATACATGTAATCAAATATTTTATCGGTTTTTCAAATACCAAGAAAATGTTATTTGGTTTGTGATGGTTAAAAAGGTACATATATCTTGTGGTAAGGATCCTGCCACATCTATTGATTGTTTAATCAATACATCATGCATATGATTATTAATTCATATTCTGATTGTAACATACCCCCACTTCAACCAGTTATAGTTACAACAGATTCTGATATTTATTGTTATGAAAGTGTTAAAACCACTTATACAAAGGTTAAAATATAAATACCTTCAATATTGTATCTGAGTGCTTTCTTAAAGGACCACTATAGTGCCAGGAAAACATACTCTCAAGGTCCCCCTCCCGCTGGGCTCTGGAAATGGGAAAGGGGTTAAAAGTTACCTTTTTCCAGCGCTGGGCGGAGAGCTCTCCTCCTCCGATCCTCCTTCTCTCCTCCCTGTCGGCTGAATGCGCACGCGCGGGAAGAGCTGCACGCGCATTCAGCCGGTCACATAGGAAAGCATTCATAATGCTTTCCTATGGACGCTGGCGTGCTCTCACTGTGAAAATCACAGTGAGAAGCATGCAAGCGCCTCTAGTGGCTGTCAATGAGACAGCCACTAGAAGAAATAGGGGAAGGCTTAACCCATTCACAAACATAGCAGTTTCTCTGAAACTGCTATGTTCATGAAAAAATGGGTTAACCCTAGCTGGACCAGGCACCCAGACCACCTCATTAAGCTGAAGTGGTCTGGGTGCCTAGAAGGTGGGGGCACCCTCAGGGCACTATAGTGCAAGGAAAACGAGTATGTTTTCCTGGCACTATAGTGGTCCTTTAAGCAATAACCTCAGTGTATAATATGTTTGCGCCATTTTGTCCCAGACTAATTACAATAATAATGCATAAACAAGCTTCAAGGCTATGCTACGACTCTTTCAGTACACAATATACTGTGGTAACCTTAAGTAGATAAGAATGTCCAGACTTTAAGATGCCCTCTTGAACTAAGTCAGGAAAATTTCCATGAGGTATACACCCTTTAGTTATGGCCTTGTATGTTTGCCAAGTTAAGGGAGGTCCTAAAATGAATAAAGTAAAAGAAATGTTACTTTTTCATATATGAACTACGGTAACCCTAAAATGGAGATACCTAATGTATAAATAGGTGTACTTTTAAATGTTAAGACACAGAGGAGAGACTTGGAGACAGACGCTGCTCCATCTTAAAATGACAGAGAGGCTGACATGATGACATGTTCAGAAGGGTATGTTAACCTATTAATGATATTTGCAAGCATTTAATTTAATCTTATAAACTCTGCTGTAATGGATTTTATATGTCTATATTTATATATAATAAATATCTAAAAGACAAAACTATTGCTTCCAAGACAATCCTTATTTTATATTGTGTTCTCAATTATTTATATATTTTAAATAAAGGGATCTCTTACACTAACTATATATAATTATGGCTAAGATATCTGTATGGTTAGCCCTACTAAGTTCTATGCTTTAAGACATTATAGTGGTAAATAAGGGAACCAGCCGCGGTTACATGCTGACATCAGAAGTGGTAGCCTGATCCAATCACAGTGCTTCCCCATAGGATTGGCTGAGACTGACAAAGAGGCAGATCAGGGGCAGAGCCAGCATGATTCAAACACAGCCCTGGCCAATCTGCATCTCCTCATAGAGATGAATTGAATCAATAAATCTCTATGAGGAAAGTTCAGTGTCTGCATGCAGAGGGAGGAGATACTGAATGTTTGGATGCATTTTAGGCAGCCATGACCCAAGAACGATCTCGAACAGCCATCTAAGGAGTGGCCAGTGACGTTGTCTCTGAAAAGACAGTGTTTACAGCAAAAAGCCTGAAGTAATGATTCTACTCGCCAGAACAAATTCAATAAAACTGTAGTTGTTCTGGTGACTATAGTGTCCCTTTAAGCATTCCATACGCAGATTCTAACCATCATAGTTGGATTTCAACGGTTTCTTGATGAAATCCAGACATGGTTAAATTCTGTGAACAATGAATACATATTGCAGTTCAAACGGCTCTGTACTGCACTGAATCGGTTTGCCCCATTCAAGAGGGGGCCTATAAGGAGTTTATTGAATAACCCTAATAAGTCTGGCAGATAAATATATGAACAAAGACCACGGATTTTAGCAGCTTAACCAGAGAAAATCGATATTGCTACATCGGTCAATGACATGCTGCAATAGACTAGCGTAGCACTCGCTACAAGAAGCTAGAAATGATTGTAGTGCAAAAATAAATAAATCTTGGGCAGATTATTGTAGATAATGTAGTTGAATTTTTGGAATTTTCAGTCAGTTTGTGGGAAAGCGGATGTAAAAGAAATCCATATCTGGTCCAGATATCACTGCACTTACTTCATCAAGATAAATAAATTATTATTATTATTATTATTATTAATAATAATGATGGTCGCTTGTTTAAAAAGGCAGCTCAAGCACCATTACCACTACAGAATATTGGAGTGGGTATTGTGCTAGGATGAAAAGTCTGCACTGCCTTATTTTTGGCAAACTGATTTTCAACTTGCTTGACAAAAATAGAAGTCCCCAGTACATCATAATGAGAAAGAGATCTCACATTCATCTGTCCAATTATTTGAACAGTATGAACATGCATTGAATTCTCTCAGTCTACCAAGAGTCTGACCATGGGCCGAGCAGGCGGATTCTACAGTGGTGAATCACTGCAATTATTTCATTACAGCTGAATCAACTCGTGGACCCTATGCTAATCCAGGAATGCCAAAACTGTTAAGCTATTCTTTATTTCTCTCAGTGCAAGAGTCAGGACGTAATGTGATCTCATGTTTTACAAACACTCCAAGGAACAAAGAATAACAAGTGTCACAATAGCAAGTGCTGGAAACAAAAAAAAAAAATTATAAAAATTAAACTTCACTTCTATCCTCCTAGGACCATAACCATTATGAAAAGCTTAAACGTTTGCATCAGGTTTTTCCCCCCAGATTTTATACATTCCCTGTGCGTAAATTTAAAAATAAAAACAAAATAATTCTTTGGAAAAGAAAATGCAGGCCAATGGTGTAATCATCAGCATTGCACAAGCCTACATTACATTCTTTGCCAATTACTGTTCAACTTTATCATTCAAAAGCAAAATTAACTCCTCAGTGGTCAAAGGGGACAGTGAGGTGCTGTTTTCAACATGCTGCAGACTAAATGTCCATGAAACGGTTATTCTCTCATTTCTTCTCCCACTCAACCCTAAAGTACATAATGTACCAGTACCATCAGCTAATGCCAACTGTAACATCAGGAATGCTCAGATGTATGTTGACACACATACATGAACAACAGGACAAACCTGTGGGTATGCACTAGTTGTTTGTATGCAATGCATGTACTTTTCATACAAGCAATACTTTATTTAAAACTAAACAATAATTTATTTTTTATTTTTTTTTTAAATAAAAAAGTTGTACCTTTGTATATTGCTAAAAAGAGACAATTCACATGGGAATGCTTCTAGTGGCAAGCTAGAAAAATCAGTGCAATTCAAATGTAAAACAGAATTTAACTCCAAACGATATATATGGGGAAAAAAAAAAACCTGCCAATTTGCAGTAGTAATTGATATTTGCTATGTACAGTAGAATAATAGAAAACTATACATACAGATAAATACATTTGCCTATTATTCTGGGGCCATCATGTTTTCACTTAAACAAATACAGTGCAGTGTGGGTTCCATACTGGTCAGATAATATTTTTAACAGTAAGGTTACATCAAGGGCAAGTTGTCTCCACAAAACACTGACATGCTAAAGACTGAAAGCAAATATTTTGAAGATTTTTAATAAAGCTGAGGACACCAAAAACAAAAAACAGCAAGTGTGCAAGACAGTTTCCCCTGTGGTCAGTTTGGTAGGAGGCCAGGGGAGGAGACTCACCAGTCAGCAGAGACAAGGGACAGGGGACAGGAGAATACTGACTTTTCAAGGGAAAGGAGAATACGGACTTTTCAATTTGTCCAGTTTTGTCCTGAAGATTTCTTCAAACAAAAATAAGTTGTTAGGCTGACCAGAGGCCTGGGAGACCCTGTGTGACACCCCTTCCAGGATGGCTACCACAGGAACAACGGATGGTGTTGCGGTGGCTGGCAGACGGAGGGCTTGACGGTCCAGGCCTCCGTCGGTTTTATCCCCCAGTCCGGTGAGGAGAGGTGATCGGCGGCGACGGGAGCCAGGAGTGGGTGGGGTGGGTCGCTGGCAGCGGTAAGAGGACCAAATGAGGAGACGGTCCAAATGAGGAGGAGTATTGTGCTAGCGCATGGGAAGCACTGGCGACTAGTAAGGGATCCAGTGAGCAGGGTCTTCAAGGGTATAGTGTTTTCCCATTGCTTAGGGCTGTACTAGCCAGGCTGCCAGAGGGTGCTGCTCAGGCCAAGGCGCAGGTTATGGTCCCCATGCAGCCATTAGCATCTGGTCGTCCCCCTATGCCCAGTTGCGAGATGGCACCACTAGGAATGCATATTTCCCTGGAGGTCAGGGATAAAATAATCAGTGGTGAGTTTATAGATGTGTTAACCCTGGTTCCCCCCGACCGGGAATCTGTGGACAGGTGCAGAGAGTCGGCGGAGGGAGAGACAGGTAAGATTCCATGCACCTTTGGAAACTGGCTCCAAGGGTTCATGGTATATGCGAGTATAGTGTCGCTGAGCTTCCCAGAGAAGGCCCCAGCACTGTTCGAATATGTGGATCTTATTTGGGGGGCATACAAACGTTTAGTCTGGGTATGGACTTTGGGGTGCAGGACGGCAGCTTGTGACTGCTTTTGATGACCCCCTCGAGGCCAGCCCCCTTTCCTGGTGCTTCGGCAGGGGCGCGCAAGGGCGGGTGCTGGCTCTTTAATGAGAGCCACTGCATATGGTACGGAGTTTGCAGGTTTAAACATGAGTGTTCCCATTGCGGAGGGGCTCAACCTGCATTGCATTGCTTGAAGAAAGGTAAGCAAGGCCAGCGTTCATCAAGAGATGATGCGCCACGGACAGAGGGCGCCGGTGAGCGTGGTAAGGATGCGGCCGTGGCCTGACCGGTATACTAACTGGCGGGCAGCTGAGATTTTGTTGGTCGGTTTTGCCGTGGGATTCGGGATTCCGTTTGTACATTCAGATTCCCCTTCCCTCTCCGGTACTTTGAAGTCCGTGCTGGGAAAAGAAGACATTTTAGCGGAGAAGTTGGACAAGGAAGTGCGAAGGGGGCGCATGGCTGGCCCGTTCGTGGTTCCGCCCTTTCACAATTTACGGGTCTCTCCATTGGGCTTTGTCGGTGAATGATATTGATAAAGAGGTGTCCCGCGTTAGGTACGCATCTTTTGACAGAGCTCTTGAATTGCTTAGGGAGGCCAGAGCCGGGGCCTTGCTGGCGAAGTCTGATATTGAATCCGCTTTTTCGGCTCCTTCCGGTGCATCCAGAATGTTTTCATTTACTAGGTTGTTAGTTTAATGGTTCGTTCTTTTTTTACATGTACATACGGTATAAGGTGGAGTATATATACAATAATTCTTCCAGTGATAGATACAATAAAATTGTCCTTGTAGGAATTTTCTCTAAAATATAAACCTAAATAAAGAGAAATAGTGCAATATAGCCAATTCACAATTAGTAGTGCAATATGTATGGAAGGTAAAGCACTCACAAACACTGAGCAAATGTAAAGGCTCAAGGATGTAGCTCTGTGGGTACTAAAAGGGACCCACTTCCTTCTTGCTACTGCCTGTAGTATCCAAATATAGAATGTCCTTTCAGGATGTAGTGAAAATAAAGTGCACAAAAGTAATATAAAATACATTAAAATAAATAGAAAACCTTACAGTCTTTAAGGTTGGTCCTTATATAAGGTGCAAAAAGTGTTTCGCCTCGTTTGGAGGCTTCCTCAGTTGCTGGCTTGTGTTATTAGATGATTTCTTTTTTTATTAGAAATCATCTAATAACACAAGCCAGCAACTGAGAAAGCCTCCAAACGAAATTGTGCTGTCGGCGGGGGGCACGATGCCGGCGCGGAGTAATGAGCACGAGGAGGGCATCGCGGTGGCGGTATCCTGGACAGCGCAAAGAAAAGGTTAAGACAAAGAGTCGCTTTGGGGAGATGACAGCCCGCACGGGAGCTGATGGCTGTTGGGCAACTGCTCAACAGCTGACAGATTTGGATAGTGTTAAAAGTTATAAATTTAATAAAGCTGTGGTGGGGACATGGATTATGGGTCAGCAGTCAAGTGCGGAGAACAGACAACAGCTCAAGTAGTCTTCCCTTTGGTAGGTTCCAGCTCAGATCTCAAGGTGGTTTTAGCTCATGGAAATGGCCCTTGTTCTTTTTGTAATGACACAGGATGCACATTTTCCATTTTTAAACTGCTTTGCTTGATTTTTATATAAAGCATGGATATGCAGTTTGTTATTTTTCTATTTAAGTGTGAGTCATTAAGTCATTATTAATTGTATTTTATTAGTGTTCAGAAACTTATCCTGATAACTTATCTGCTGTGTGTCAAGCTGAAAACCTGCACACAGACTTCTACCATCACAGCAACTCTAATAAGCAGAAGTAGTCATGCTGACTGGAATAACCCTGTAAGTGTCATAAAATGCAGAGTAAAAGGGTACACCAGTCCATACTACATGTATTCGTTGGTAAAGGGTTGGGAGGTTGGGCTTTCCAAAGCAGTCACTATTTAACTCTATGGGATTTTGTTTAAATTAATTTGGTAACTTTTTAGAACAGTAATGGGATTGAACAATAATGGGATACCCCATGGCAATGTACCCTTAAAGGACCACTCTAGGCACCCAGACCACTTCAGCTTAATGAAGTGGTCTGGGTGCCAGGTCCCTCTAGGGTTAACCCATTTTTTAATAAACATAGCAGTTTCAGAGAAACTGCTATGTTTATGAATGAGTTAAGCCTTCCCCCAAATCCTCTAGTGGCTGTCTCATTGACAGCCGCTAGAGGCGCTTGCGTGATTCTCACTGTGAAAATCACAGTGAGAGCACGCAAGCGTCCATAGGAAAGCATTGATAATGCTTTCCTATGCGACCGGCTGAATGCACGCGCAGCTTCTGCCGCGCGTGCGCATTCAGCCAACGGGGAGGATTGGAGGAGGAGAGCTCCCCGGCCAGCGCTGGAAAAAGGTAAGTTTTTACCCCTTTCCCCCTTCCAGAGCCGGGCGGGAGTGGGACCCTGAGGGTGGGGGCACCCTCAGGGCAATATAGCGCCAGGAAAACGAGTATGTTTTCCTGGCACTATAGTGGTCCTTTAATGGGGAATAGATAGCACAGCTAGGCCACCTGGACATAAGTCAAAAGGGACAATGTAGTCACTTTAACAACTTCATCTGTTCAACTTCTACCTTCCAAAACTCACCATTAAAATAATTAAAAAGGCTTGGAAGCATGGCTTCAAGTCCCACCTCCAAGCCCTTAAAGTAGGAGAGCAGAGAATCTTACTTCCTGACTCTCACACCGTAACAAACTGATGTCGCACGCGCACTGACGTCACAGTCAGCCATAGAGAGTTGATTAATACAATAATTCTCTATGCAGCAATCGTAGATGCGTTGCGGTGAGCACCCTGCATGAGCCTATGTTCCTCAATGCTCGTCTAGGATGAAAACCCAAGGAAGAGGCTGAGTTTTCAGGTTTTTTTATTTTTTTATTTGAACATGAGGATGGGGATCTGATTGATAAAGAGCATCAGTGATGTAGAGTTAGGAATACAGATATGCATCCCCAACGCTACGGTGTTTCTTTAATATATATGTGAGGTATCTTAATACACATTACTAGTAAATAATTACACTTTTGCTATCGGAATTTTATTATGGGCAATAATGGGCTGGAAATTTGCAGTGGTCTGATTGAATACTTTGCCTATCTCTGGCTAAGATTATTACGATTCCTTTGACACTTTTAAAATGCTGCATTTAAGGGTTTATTTACGGAACAGGGGATTAGGTGAATAAACCACTGACAGCATTGTTAAATAAATAAAGGGCACCGATGACGTTAGAGCAGGGTGTGGAATTCAGCAACGGGAGTCTTACCCGGCACTGGACTGCAGGTAAATTCATGCCTATTTTTAAAAAATGTATACAAGTAGACCTAATTGCGAATGCCCAACACAACAATAGGAAATTGGAAATGATATATAAATTATTTATATATAGTATTGCTTCAGACCAGAGGAAGAGAGGGAAAACCTTTGAAACCTTGTCTTTTAAATATTATGTTAGTCCAATAAAAAAAAAAACAAAAAAAAAAAAAAAACACACAATCATCATTGCATACTGCAATATTTTGGTATTTTAGCACCTTGTCTACTAGTCTAACGCGACAAATCCAATATACACACATATCCAAAAGAGGATGTGGGTAATCCGTTAAAGTCTTTCTTTGAAAAAAAACAAACAAAAAACAATCTAACGGTGGCAAGTTCTCTCTGAAGGTAGACAGAAGAGCTTTGTAAACCTACCAAAATACACAAGTAATCGAGCAGCATTTATTTACAAATCTCATTGTACAGCGCTATGGAATTTGCTGGCGCTATATAAATAATAATAATAATAATAATAATAATAAATCACCAGTGCCCAAGTTGGAAATTTACATGATTTGATAAAAACAAAATGTTTTGACAAATAAAACCTGAAGCATGAGCCTTGGCTTCAAATCTTCATATCCAAGAACTGAGGGCAATGTTCGATGAATCTGTATTTAGAAAGGAATGTTACCTGTGTAGTAGAGCAAGTGGTGACATTCACAAAACAATGAGACTAGCGGTTTAGTATCTCGTTATTATGCATCAGTCAGTGCAGAACCAGGTATTACTTACTGCACTGATTCTTAATAGCAATCTAAAATGCACAGGTTAGTGGCAGTAACTTGGTAATCCTTTCTTCAATTGTAAAAACTACACTTGGAATGCACTAGAGAAAGCAGGAACCTAAATTAGGAAAAGAACCGGTTTTGTATCTTGACCTAGAAGAAGAGGTTGTGGTACCAACATGCCCTTCAATGTTGAAAGATTGTTTTTTTTTAAAAAAACACTAAATCTAGGCAAAAATAATGAGGGTTTAGTTACATTATATGATAATACATTACATAAGCCTGCCACAACATCAATGTACCCCATCTTTGACAGGCCTACACTAACAGCCTAATGTCTGTTAGTGACAGGGAGGGGTGCAAAACCAAGGAGTTGGCTAGACTCATAATATATAACAGGGGAGGGGGGTGGCTACACTCACCTGAACATGCATAAATGGGGGTGCTGCTGGGGGCCAAATTAGCGCACTCACCTATCCACTAAACAGCAACTTCAATGTTGAAAGATTTTTTTTTTTTTGTTTTTTTTTTTAAACACCTAATCTAGGCAAAATTAATGGGGGTTTAGTTACATTATATGATCATACATTGCACCCCTCCCTGTACTGCAGAGAGTCCCAGATGGAATTTTTTCTCCAAGTAAGTGGGTTAATCTCATAAGAGCAGACATTAGGCGTTAGTGTAGGACCTGCCAAAGATGGGGTACATTGACGTTGTGGCAGGCTTATGCAATTTAACTAAACCCCCATTATTTTTGCCTAGATTAGGTGTTTAAAAAAAAAAAAAAAAAAAATCTTTCAACATTGCTGTTTAGTGGATAGATGAGTGCGCTGGATCTTGTGTATTGTATAATTTGGCCCCCAGCAGCACCCCATTTATGCATGTTCAGGTAAGTGTAGCCAACCCCCCCTTGTTTATATATACTTCCATAATAAATGGTATTTATTGGATGAGCATGTCAATAGACGCACTCAGCCAATGGATGCTGTCCACCATCGAGCCTCCCTGTATGGAGGTCTACACTCACTGGACGTAACAAACTCCTTTCGGATCCAAAAGAGGTGGGGGTGTAGATTATGTAAATTGTACATAATCTAGTGTCTGTAGTGGTGCTTTGAGTGTTCCTCTAATCAGCAGCCAATATGATTAAATCAGAGCATTTGCCATATAAAATGCTTTGAGTTGCATTTGTTAAAAAAGGTTTTTGTTTTTTTTAAATTATAAATATTCAATCTGAGGTGTACATCTAATAGCATGTTACAGAAAAACTTTAAATCAATATTATTTACAATATATAAAAAAATTCTCATATTATTTAGATAGTGCCAACAAATTCCGCAGAATGTACAATGGGATAATGGGGAAAAAATAAAACAACCCCGTACAAAAAACACGACATATGATAAATGAACCAGTTATTTTCCTGCCTTAATGATGGAGTCCAAGTACAAAGGTGAATTAAGTTTGTTTCCATACAGTTTATTTTTGAGCATGGACCAATATCTTACATGGTTTGTTTACACTTCATCTGTTATGGACAGATTATTGCAACACTGAACAAAACAGTTGACAAGTTTAGCATGTAGGCCACAGAGAATGTAAACAATTACTTGATAAAAGATATTTACTTTTAAAATAAGGTGATCTTTTAAACTAGGTAAAAGGTAAAAATATCTCATTGTACCAGAATGATATAGCTGAAAGTTCAACTTCTAGACGTACATCTGCTGTTATATAATGGATGTGACTTTTTGCACAATTTTCCACAAGGCCATTTCAAAAACAAGATCAAAACAAGCCATATCTATGAGATGTTTATGAGTTGCATAAAAAGAATGAAAGATAGCAACTTGATACTAAAAAGGATGCTCCATTCTGGAGCACAAGTTTATTTTTAATTTATTATAAACAAATTGCAAAAAAAAATAAAAAAAATTCAGCATAAAAATTGGTTTGCAGCTGTCCTATAATTTACAATGTTACAATAAAAAAAGTTTGGGGATGAAAGGTAAGAACACCCATGTACTGAAAAAGTTTTTCCTATGGGAAAGCATTGAATTGTCGGTGGTCTCCGGCAAGGAGGCGGAGACAGCTGCAACAGACCAGCACTGCGCCGGAAAAGAGGTAAGTAAATTCACCTTTACCCTTAGCTGTCGGGGTGGTTGGGGGGGGAGGTCAGGAGACAAAACTATGTTTTCACAGGTATATTGACAGGAATACATGTTTGTATTCCTATAGTGTTTCTTTAAAAACCACAGGCCTAAACACATGTACAATACTAGCACAGGGAGCTACAGGATTCCTTACTCTTTTTGCAAGATGTGTTGATGCTAAACAGTTTGAAAATTTTTGTTCCATATTTTTGTCAAATCGTTAATAAAAATAGTTTAGAAGAAGAAAAAAAAATAAGAGGGGAAGGATGGCAACATATCAACTACACCAAGATGTAATGGTTATGTTCCTGAGAAGGTCCCTAAAAGAAAAGGACAACTATAAATTGGGGGTTGTCCTAATCAAGATCCTTTAATTCCATATCGGATTAAATCAATTTACCCAGGAGTTAATGGTGGAAACGTATTCATTATATAGAACTCCACAGATAAATCCTGGACAAATCTATTTGTTCAAGTGGCATTAAAGAGACACTATAGGTCACCAGAGCAACTACATAACAACTGGTGAGTATAATAGCTCCCTTCAGGCATTTTCATGTTTACATTGCCCCTAGGGACACCTCCAAGTGGCCACTCCTTAGATGGCCACTGGATGTGCTTCCTGGCTCAGGGCTGCACAGTAGGCAGCCCTGCAGTTTAGCGTCCCCACGCTCTGCATGATTCAATGCATCTCTATGAGGAGGTCCTGATTGGCCAAAATGGCATTTGGCCCAACCCGTGCTGATTTTAGCCAATTGAACTGGCTAGAAATTGTCCATTTCGATTATTTCACAAAGGGGGCGGAGCCAGTGCCGACAGACCCGCGCAGCACTGGAAATAAGGTGAGTTTTAAGTTTTATAGGGGGGGACAAGCTGTTGGCTTTAGCACGATAGGGTTAGGAATACATGTTTGTTTTCTTGACCCTATAGTGATCATTTAGAAGCAATTTAATTTGGACGAACTGGCTCAAAACCAAGTTTACTATTTTTATATCCCCAAAAGAAAACATGTATGTACATGTATTTTTTTTTCCTGCACATTTTCTTTGGAGGTACAAGACTCAGACCTGCTGTCTCAATACAGAGTTTGTAAGCCCACACCATTATCCCAGGCACAGATGTTCAGTCTATGCCAGGGAATTGACCAATCAAAAGCTTCTCATTAAGAAGCCCCTGGGCCAGAGCAGGGAGCGTGCACATGATTGCAGCACTCCAATGTTTCTCAGTGAGATGTACTACAACAAGGATGGAAGATGGTTAGCACAGTGGAGTAAACAGAAGTGGAAGAAAACCTCCAAGGTTGTTGTCAGTCTAGACCCCAGTTTCTATTGAAATTAGCACTGTTTAAAACTGTAGACAAATTATAGACTTCAGACATATAATGCACTTCAGCAAGTTGAAAAAAAAAAAAGTGTCACAATGTGACAACACGCATAAGATTCAAATAGGGGATATTCCATACTTTTTGGGTTTCTTGTATTCTAATTGATACCCGAGAAGCACTATTCAATTCATTACCAGTGAGATCCATGAAACTGAGCAGAGGAGATTATACGGATTTTCCCTTTCTGCATACGTGCAGTTTGCTAATTTTGCAATAGTATTAGTCAGACATGAACAAAGAGTAGAATTTATCTGCACTGTGCTAGTACAGTCACTGTTACAGAGGCTCCACGGTACTAATATAGGAGACTAGATGCCCTGTGCCAATCTTCTTACTGTGAAGTTACAGTTATTAGGAACAGTGGGTTAAAGTATATTACAAAGTAACACCAATAAAAATGACACAAAGTAAAGGGACCCGCCATGCTGTGCTGTTACACTCCTTCAATTTGTTATGTGTGGGAAGGGAGACATTGAAAAACACTTAAGGCAATTATGGCTATTCATTTGCAGTGCTAAAGATATCCCATAAACTAGGACTTACTGCAAATAAAATTCAGCACTCACTTCCTCAAGAAACAAAATGCACAGTGGAAGTTTGTTTTGTTGTTTTTTTTTTTATATGAAATCTAAGCTTTTTTATATGAAACATTAAAATGTAAACCCACCTATATGGGGGGAGGGGGCAAAAAAAACAAGTAAAAGTATATACATATGCAGGTAAGAGTTAGTTAAAAAGCTACTTTTTATTTTTTTAAACTGTGCCACTTTGTATGGTGTATCAATTTGAAAAGTCATTGTAGTATATGAGAGTAAAGACGTGTATACAATCCATTTCAGAAAGAGTTTTATGGAACTATACCAGTGGTTCCCAAACTGTGTGCCGCGGCACCACAAGATATTTTCCCGCTGCTATGCCTCCCTCTTCCATGTTGGGTTCTGCAGGACTGAAGGGGAAATCAGAGATCTCCCTCTCTGGCCTCCTAGCAATGTAATGCTGGCAACTGGCAGCCGGCAGGGAAGGAAGGGAGTGAGAGAGGACCCGAGTGAGCTCTAACCTGCAGCTCCGCCAGGTTCTCCTCTCACGAACTCGGAGCGTTGCCACGGTTACCACAGCAACGCTCTGAATCTCGCGAGAGTGAACTCTAGCAGCTCCTGAGGCTGCTAGAGCTCACTCTCACCACTTGGACCACCAGGGATTGCCTTGTACTGTCCCCCCTCCCAGGCAAAGGTAAGCAATAAAAGTAATACAAAAAAAAAAATAGTATATATTTATATATTTATCTGCCCTCCTACCCTAACAGACCCACAATAACTCCACTATACACAAAAATAATCCCCCATACACACACACACACAGCCCCTCCATACTCAAACTGTACCCCTCATACAACCTGCCCACACACACACACACTGTACCTCTCACGCATAAACTGCACCACATACACACACACACACACTGCACACTTCACACACACAATGCATCCCCGTACACTCACTGCACCCCACACTCACTGCCTGTATTCCCTACTACAGCCCCTATCCTGGCAGATCCCAGGTAAGTTGTCAAACTATTGTTAAATGACCACTCTAGGCACCCAGACCACTTCAGCTTAATGAAGTGGTCTGGGTGCCAGGTCCAGCTAGGGTTAACCCACTTTTTTTTTTAATAAACATAGCAGTTTCAGAGAAACTGCTATGTTTATTAATGGGTTAAGCCTTCCCCCAAAGCCTCTAGTGGCTGTCTCATTGACAGCCACTAGAGGCGCTTGCGTGCTTCTCACTGTGATTTTCACAGTGAGAGCATGCCAGCGTCCATAGGAAAGCATTGTAAATGCTTTCCTATGCGACCGGCTGAATGCGCGCGCAGCTCTTGCCGCGCGTGCACATTCAGCCGACGGGGCGGAACGGAGGAGGAGAGAAGGAGGAGAGAAAAAAGTTTTACCCCTTTCCTCTCCCCAGAGCCGGGCGGGAGGGGGACCCGGAGGGTGGGGGCACCCTCAGGGCACTATAGTGCCAGGAAAACGAGTATGTTTTCCTGGCACTATAGTGGTCCTTTAAACAGTTTGACTACTTACTCAGGGAGGGCACTACTGCCACCATAACCACTACAAGGTGATGTAGTGGTAATTGTGCCTGGATTCTTTCTTTACATAATCTACCAGTGCCCCTCCCAAGATTAGGTTCTGGATCTGCGCTTGAACAGCAAGCATTTCTGCTGAACAGGGGCCCAGTATATGCCGCTGCGATGTACATACATAAAACCTAGGAAATATTTTAACTTGGGGTGCCTTGGAAAAATATTGATATATTAAAAGGTGTCTTGAACCTAAAAAGTTTGGGAACCACTGAACTATCCAAAGTGAGTTTCAGAAATAAGCAGTCCTTTAACACTTTAAGGATGGTGGCAATTGTATTCGTTCTGACCAAAACAAAACCTAGAATTTGAACAAGAGGTCTGTTTAACCATAAGTTATCTCTGTCATGTGAAGTGTTCCCACACTTATATATCATTTAAGCAGGAACAGGGCTTTCATTTCATACAAAATGTGTATATAGGGAACATAATTTTAAAATAATAAAATTAAATAAGTTTAAAAAAAAAAAAAAGTGTGAGAATATAAAATGTTATTTTCTAACTTCTGCATGGCATATTAACTGTGAATATTACAATTGTGTTCGCTTTTACTGCAATAAAACACATTTGAATGCTATGATGTCCCAAGGGTACAACAATGCCCCCACATACAAGTTTCATGGTGTTTTGGAAAGTTACAAGGTCACGTAAAGAACTTACCTGTTTCAGTTTTTTCACATTGAATTTTGCCAGATTACTTATGTTGTCTTTGAGACCATATGGTAGCCCAAAAACGAGAATTACCCCCACCATGGCATATCATTTGCAAAAGTATTGAACCCAGGGTATTCAAAATAGGGTATGTCCAGTCATTTTTGGTAGCCACTTGGTCAAAAACCCTAGCCAAAGTTAGTATTCATATTGGGGTTTTTTTTTTTTTGCATTTTTCAATAATTGCCCTTTCACCGATGATATCGCCATACGGTTTACTGCTCTAAAACACTCACATGTTTCACCAGTACAACAGTAACTCCCCCCCCCATGTACAGGTTTTATGGTGTTTTGGAAAGTTACAGGATCAAATATAGGGATTGTATATTAAATATCTGGACTTTATGCCAGAGTTGTACGACACGTCTCTTAAATTATAAAGAAAAATAATAAAATTATGTAAACATAATTCATAAATATCCATGTAGGGAACAGGTTGAGGCAGCACGCAAGGGAGCAGTGATCTTCTTGCCGGTCCTCTCTGCTCCCTCACACTGTATAGTGATGCTGGGAGCTGGAATATGACATCATTCCGGCCCTGGCATCACTACAGGGAGCAGAGAGGAGCTGCAGGGTCCCTCGCACGCAGAGCAGCCCCACTGAACCTAAGGAAAAATCCACTCAGCTCTCCCAAAGGTAGGGAGGCTGGGTGGATTGAAATAAAAATAAAAAATTAAAATTTGTGAGTATATGTATATATATATATGTGTCAGTGAGCGCGTGTGTGTGTCAGAGAGAGTGTGTCTGTTTAGGTAACTGCAACCCTCCGATCACATGAGAGGTGTTTTCACTCACATTTTTTCCCCCACACCGTGCCAATGTCCCAGCTCCAAAGCAGAGTTCATCAATCTTTATGATCTCAGCTAATCCAATGCATTCCCATAGAAAAGTATTGGGAGAATATTGCGCATGATCTCTATGGATTACATTCAGCACCTCCATGCGGACACAGGACTCTAGTGGCCGCCTGAATGACTGTCACTGGAGGTCTTACTAGGCAGCAATGTAAACACTGCCATTTCTCTGAAAATGCAGAGTTTACATTGAAAAGGCTATAGGCACCAGAACAACTACATTAATCTGTAGTGGTTCTGGTGACTATAGTGTCCCTTTAAGAATTGCATATTTCTCCTTGTAAATTAAACTTCCTAGTTAAAAAAAATAAATAATAAAAAATAAAAAAATTTGCTCCTAACTTTGTTTTTGCTGGCTCCTAGATTCCAAACATATTTGTCAAGCCCTGATATATATCATATAGCATATCTGAATATGAAGTTATATCTGCAATAATTTTCAGTAGAACGCTGCACCATAACAAAAAAAAACAAAAAAAAAAACACAAATATCTTCATGTAAAATATTACAATTCCAGTAGACAGACAATTATCCTCTGTACGTCCCATAGAATTCTCTGAATATAAAGTTATTTAATCAATGGAAAAAGAACAGAGAATGTCATCCATATAAAATGTTCATTGCTAGTTATCTTAACAGGGGAACTGTACTCGTGATTGTCACCTCTTCAGATCACTAACTTCCCCAGCAAATCAAGCTGATGGTGACATCACACACACTCATTCGAAAATGATAGCATCACTACCAGATATAAAAATCTTTCATACTCACTTAATTCTCATCTTGCGCTATTAGTTTAGTCTGTCTATGGTATACTTACCAGAGACCAAGCATTTCGATGTATAAGTGTTGGACTTAAACCGGTTTATTTACCACTGATTTTTAAAAAAATAGTGATCTTGAAGAAAGAAACCCCGCCCCCCCCCAAAAAACAATACACAAACACACACACGCCACCACAAACTGTGTGAAGTGATGTCACTTACCCAATTCCAGGGCTTTGGTAAATTTCTCTAATGCTCCAGTGAAATTGTTATTTTGAAGCAGTGACTCCCCTTCCAAAGACAGCCTTCTGATCCTGGTTTCTTCACCAAGCCATTTCTCTAATAAATTCCCCAAAACCACATTCACTTTCAACCCTTCACAGGACTTCCCAAGCCCCTCTGCTATGTTGCTATGTTTGCTATGGCAATTGCTGCACTCAATGGATTCTTTTTCACTTAAGCATTTCTTGCAGAAAGTGTGCCCACAATTCAAGGTAACTGGGTCCAAAAGAAGCATCTTGCATTTGGGGCAGGAGAACAAGTCTAAAGAAAGTGAAGATTCAGAAGGATCTTCGGGGATGTTAATAGCACATGGGACTGGCATACCCTGATAGGCTTCATTAATAGGACCGTGGTCATCTTTTCTTCGGAAACATGGCAACTTGAGCTCTTTCTCTCGAATATTGAGGGCAATACTTTCTACCAACACGCCAAGTTCCTCAGGATGAAGCCGGCCAAGCATAGCTGCTTTAGTGTAAGCGTTTAGGGCATCAGCTATTTTGCCAGCTAGTGCCAAGGCATCACCTCTCCTTACATGAAGAGACCTCTCAGGGTGAGGTAGTTCATCCAATTGAGAGCCATAGATCTCTGCAGCAAGTTCAAAGTTACCTGCTCTAAATGCCTCCTCTGCCACCCCTAGCATTTCAGAACTAATGCCAGGGAGGTCAAGAGGCAAAGAGTTAGACGATGGCACAGATCTCACCTCCATCTTGGGAGAGATGATCCAGTTCTCCTCTACATTATTTTAGCATTGTCAAGAGCTTGATAGGAGAACAAAAGGGTTCTAGAGAACAAGTATGAGGATCACGTTGTATCATATCAATATCACCCTGCCAAACACAAAACAAAATGTTATCACAGTCATGTTATATAGTCACTTGCCTGTGATCATGTCATATATAGTTGTGTTACCTCGACAGTGTAGCAATTTGTCACAAGTGCATAATAGAGCCGTGCTATGGACACCTTCCTTTGTTCCCTTGTGGTTACAATATCATTGTCCCCAATCGTGCCGCACCCCCGGATTCCAGTTTAGTGCAGTGGCCGGGCCTCACGTCTGCCAGGCTCCCAGTGTACCCAAACTTGGCACACCATGCTTATCTGATCTCCTAAGAGGAACAGGGTAGTCCTTATCCGGTAATGAGAGCAGGGAATTCCCCTTTGAAAGTTCACTCCCTCAGCCCCTCACAAGCTGCACAGTAGGTCAATATAGCGTTTTCCTTGCAGGTAATCCAGTAGCGCTGCTGCTGTCCCCCAAACATACATGTGTCAGACAGATAGACAATGCCAGCCCCCTGCTCAACACCATGGGAGAGTCCTGCATTCTTATTCAACTAGCTGGGGGAGGTGATTCTATGTTTATGGGGTGCTGTCCTTGGGTGCCAGCTGTACCCCCTCAGTTTGTTTGATGGCAAGCTCCTGCACTCAGCGCTGTACGTCCTCCCTGCCCGGGCACTAGGAGTGCTGTGAGCTCATCACACGAGGAGAAAACAGGCGGCCTTCCTAGGCTCTGCCCGGCCTCTTAAAGGAACACGGCCCAAAGCAGGAGAGAGGGCATGTCAACAAATAGATGGAAAATGGACAATACGGCATTCATTCACCGGACAAAGCACACGGTGGCCTTCATATTGTATTGCTTGTTCTATATATGGGCTTCTGTATACCACATGTGTTTTGGATACTGTGTATTTTAGGTAATTTCAAGGACGGTGTCACATAAACCATTATTTTGTATCAGAAAAACTTGCCATATCATATCATACATAATAGACTCCATGTCTGCTTGTGAAAGGGTTCACCCCAAGGCTCTGTCTGTTAAATAGGATAGAACGTTCAGTCACTGGATGGAATGGAACGCGGCGGCGGGAGGGGGTTAATAGAATCAGGTGGGAGGGGCTTGGAGCCAGTAGGAATGCCTGCTTCTAACAACAAGTACTACGGCGGTTATACCCTGTCTCCGTCACTCAGTTACTGTGATCGGCAGTAGCAATGTAGACAATGAACTGGGATCGCACTGCTGCCCCCTAATGTTTGTAGCGGGACCTTGGCATGTGAGGGACTTTTGAAATGTCACGTGATGCAGTGACGGTATTCTCTCCCCTCCCACCCTGGATACTTTATGTAACCAGCAGCTGTTACTATTATACAATGTCTAGAGAGCGCTAGTATGGCTTTACATTACAGTCAGTGTGACCGGCAACGTCACCTGCGCTCCTTACAGTCATGGCGGTGGTCTGAACGTTTCTTAACGCAGGTCTGTCACTTTTTAGCTTTTCATAGAGATTGAATCTTTAAGAAAAGCTATTTTGACTGTGTTGGAATTTTTTGGAAATTCCAGTGTGTTCAAAAGATATAAAATACAGATTAAGGAACTGAGCACATACTCAGAGTTACCATTTGGCTATGTGTATTTGAAATCCTAGCCAGATTCCTCTGTGTTGAATACCCCACTCATGCCCTCCAGGTGCCCCTTTGAAGGTGATCATAGGAAAGCATAAATTGGGGAGAGTCTCTGGAAGCCATTTAAGCAGTGAGTATTGCAGGTTGCAGGTTCATCTGACACTTTGGAATTAGTGTAAGACCCAACGATATTGGGGTACTGTGATCTAGTGGTGGGCTTAACACAATATGGTGGAATTGAATTCCCATATTTGTTAACTAAGATGGATGATTTTAAAGGGACATTATAGGCACCCAGCCACCCACACAACTTCATCTCATTCAAGTGGTCTGGATGCAGTGTCCCTATCCCCATTGCAGTATTAAGACAGCCTCTGCATGAGGACATCCAGCATCAGTGAAATCCCCATGGGAAAACACTGATGCAATGCTTAGCTATGGGGAGTGTCTAATGTGCTTACCACACATGCGCATTAGGTTCCCGAGTCAGAGCGCTACCCAGCCGAGTGACATAGGTGCTAGAATCGGGTGAGTAAAAAAAGTGTTTCTAATCCTTTATGTAACACAGGGAAGGGAACCTGAGAGCACTGTAGCGTAAGGAATACAGATTTGTATTCCTAACACTAGAGAGTCCCTTCAAGCTTGTAAAATTCAAAACTGATTTTTATTTTCTTTTTTGAGTGCACATTGTTCCTTAATCAGTATTTTGTATAAATCTTGGCCTTTATGACAGCACACTGTATGAAAAATGCATTTTCCATGTGTGGCCCACATTCCATTTGGTCTGATCAAAAGATATAAACCATAATAATAATATTAACCAGAGTATTTCCTACTTTATGTAATGTAACTTTTGACACCTTTAATAGTGTTTGGGAACCAGCATCATTTTGCTTTATGTACAATAGATGCCTCTGGCATTTTGAGTAATATCTTCTATACCTTACTTATAGCAATTTATATATTTACTAAAGCCAAAAATTTGTCCCAAAAAATCTGAAGCAAGAGCCAAGATGCATTCAGTGTGGGAACTAAAATTGGTGCACTTGCATCTGAAAAATATACAAAGTATAAGATTTGGAATATTCACAAAGCTCCAATTTTAAGTTGAATATGAACCAAAATGCATCCAGCAGGGTGCACAAACGCATCTTCTAGTTCACTTGCATTTATGCAAGAGAACAATCATTTGATTTTAACATATAACATTGAAAAGCAGTGACCAAAAATGGAGACAGTCAGTTGCAAAATAAAGAGCAGTGGATTCCCATATTTGATTTGATTTCTTTTCTTTTTTTTTAATTAAATATAATTTTTTTTTAATTGTATTTACTTGTAAACAGACATTAACAAGAAACATACATACAGGGCAATTGCAAGTATCAGTTCATTTGTGTATTCAGTCTACTCTGCATTAATTGCCTCGCTACTTTCAATTATATAATGAATAGTTCTATTTAGACTTAAAACCACATAATATTATATTTAGTTAACCGTAAGCTACACTCTCCATACGTTCTTTTAAAATCATACAAAATTCAAGGGGAAGCATTCCCACACACTAAGCAATTTTTTTTTCTACTATAAGAGTGTTGTTAAAGGACCACTATAGTGCCAGGAAAACAAACTTGTTTTCCTGGCAATATAGGGTCATTAGGTCCCCCCACCCTCATGGCCCCCCTCCCGCTGGGCTGCGCGCGCATTCAAGCAGCCCGTAGGAAAGCATTACTCAATGCTTTCCTATGGACGTCAGCATCTTCTCACTGTGATTTTCACAGTGAGCATTGCGGAAGTGGCCTCTAGTGGCTGTCAGTGAGACAGCCACTAGAGGCTGGATTAACCCTCATGTAAACATAGCAGTTTCTCTGCTCTATGCAGGGTTAGAACTTGAGGGACCTAGCACCCAGACCACTTCATTGAGCTGAAGTGGTCTGGGTGCCTCTAGTGGTCCTTTAAATATTATAATAGAGTAATATGTCCAAAGTTGAGTATAGATTATTTTCTAACTTTGTGATTTTTCTAAAATAATGCCCAGGGATTCCAGGTCTCTTTATAGATCATTGATTTAGTTAGGGCTTTATATGAGCCTTTTCCATTTTACTTTGGAATTCAATCTGACTTATTATTTCTTTTGGGCCGGGAATATTATTCAACGAGGAAAACAAAAAGAATTACCCTAGGGCCAAAATTTAGATATCACAAGGTAGAGGGCACAAAAAAGGGGGGTAACCCCTAAATGGAGAATATCATAGAGAATAAACAAAAAAAGAAAGAAACAAATGCCATTCTACCTGTGTATGATTTACTGAGAAGATTGTAGATTAAAAAGTAACTTTTAATAAATAAATCTAAAATAAAAAATATAAAAAAGAAAAATAATATGAACAGCAGGAGTAAATGGAGACTATACAGCGAGTAAAACTCTGTGACTACTTATACAAGCTATAAAAGTGTATACATAATAACACTAATCCTGAAGCAATACTGTTTAGCTACAATATAACAGTGTATTCCCAAGTAATAGAAGTGATACTATATTATATATCAGTAATAACTGTAACAAGAGGGGGGGAGATAAGACAACTGCTAAACCAGTGCTGTCAATAGTTAAAAGATATGGATAAGTAAATCCCTACATGATAGTACAACTAACGACATGGGTTAACTCCACATACAATAATTGATAATGTTCTATGGTGCTTAACCTCAGAAAGATCAAAGATAATGGTTCAGCTAAGACAGATTTCTGACAGACGGCGATTAGCCAGTTAAATATCACAAAAGCTGCCTAGATCCTAGCAGCATTTTGATAATAAATTAAAGATTGCTGTCAAGCAGTAAAGTATAAAATAAGATAAGGGGTTGCTGACCTGGCTCCTTTTTTTCTGCAAGATACCTAGCAGTATATTCTAGTGTAACAACAGCTGCCTGCACTGAATGATGTTAACTTATGCTTGACCACAGTGGAGCACAAAGTAGTAGCTCACCTGAAGGACTGCTGACCGGTTAAAGATCACACAAGTTGCCTAAATGCTAGCTGCATCTAAATAATAGGTCAAAGTATAAAGAAAAAGTTACAAACAGTTTTTAAACAGGTTGCCTAGGTAGTAGAAAATATTACCGGTTAAAAGCCTGTCAGCAGTCCTTCACAGGTGAGCTACTACTTTGTGCTCCACTGTGGTCAAGCATAAGTTAACATCATTCAGTGCCTCAATTCACACGTATAAGAAAAACAGTGTTTTTTCTTTTCTTTGTTTTGCATTTATAAATGGTGGATTATCATTTATGTCATTCAAGTATAGCGACCAGATGTCATCATGCTTAAAGGGCAAGGGACAGCACTATTTGGCTATTACTGGACTACCTCACTCCTGAGAGAGCCATTAATATCCCTCAGCCAGCTGATCCTAGCATGCAGTGCTGCACTCTTGCGTGTGCATGGGAGTACAACACTGACATAGGCTCCAAGCAGCTGAAAGAGACCATCAGGAAGACAATGTATGTGGGGCGGCTGTGAGGGACATATTCAGGTAAATAGAACTCACCTTCTCCTGCACTCCCGTGGCCACTGAACACCAAGCGGAGCAGTCACCATTGGGGGTCATTTCAAATTATGCAAAGAATCCAGATGGTGGCAGAGGTGCTTTAGATGTGCTGGTGGAGAGAGATAAGTACCAGTAGCCTTAGCTGGCGTCCTCAGAAGTCGAGTTAGCCTCCTATGCTTGATAGCAGGGCTACAAAAACAGTTCTAGTTACAACCAGATCAACCAGTGTTTGTGTTTGAGTCTGGACATAAAGTGGAAAGGATCACTTCCCATCTGCCCACATGCAGATTTTAACACAGGAAATGCCTTTCTGGAGGAAACACAACTGGCCTTATAGGCGTGCGAGCTGTGCAGCCGCACATGGTGCCATAGCAACAGGGGCGCCATGCAGCCGACACAGCTCCCATCACTGGCGGATCCAGGGGGGGGGCAACGGGGCAATTGCCCCCCCCGAGAAATCCGCCGGTCTCCCTCTCCCTCCCCTGCCAGCACATGCAGGTGCTAGCCCTGCGATGTGCCTGCGGACCGGAGGGGAGGTCAGAGCTCTCCCTCCCCGGTCCGCAGGCGCTGTGCTGACAGCCGGCGGGGGAGTGAGAGAGAGGACCCGGAGCTCATTCTGCAGCTCCTCCGGGTCCTCCTCTCGTGAGATTTGGAGCGTTGCCGCGGTTACCACGGCAACGCTCCAAATCTCGAGAGAGTGAACTCTAGCCCGGGAGCGCGGGCTAGAGCTCACTCTCCACACTGGACCACCAGGGAATCACCACTGGGACCACCAGGGAACGAAATATGTCCCCCCTCCTCCCCAGTAAAGGTAAGAAGGGAGGGGGGACATAGGATATATATTTTTTTAAAAATTAAATATTTAAAAATATATATTATAAAAAAAAGCCCCCCTCCCCTTAACACACACACATATACATTGCCCCCATGCTGCCCCCCATACACACATGCTGCCCCCCATACACACCCCCCATGCTGCCCCCACTGCCCCATGCTGCCCCCTCATACACACATACTGCCCCCTCATGCACACATACTGCCCCTTTATACACACATACTGCCCCCTCATACACACATACTGCCCCCTCATACACACACACTGCCCCCATACACTGCCGCCCCATACACACGCATTGCCCACACTCACACACACACACACACACACTGCAACTGTTACACACACATACTGTCACACACATACTGTCCCACACATACACTGCACCCCTGACATACACTGCCCCCCCTACTCACACACTACAACCTTCACACACACACACACACTGCACCCCTTACACATTGCACCACTCACACACACCACTGCTCCTATGGCCTACTACAGCCTAATTTCCCAGCAGACCTCAGGTAAGTTGTCAAACTGTTCTTAAACGGTTTGACTACTTACTCTAGGAGGGGGTCCTGGCACTATTGACACCATAACCACTACACTGAGCTGTAGTGGTTATTGTGTCCGGATTATTTCTTTAAATAATCTACAAGTGCCCCTCCCGAGATCAGGCTCTGGATCCGCCACTGGCTCCCATACAGGGGCAGACTGAGCACTCGTGAAATTAAAGGACCACTCTAGGCACCCAGACCACTTCAGCTTAATGAAGTGGTCTGGGTGCCAGGTCCAGCTAGGCTTAACCCATTCTTTTATAAACATAGCAGTTTCAGAGAAACTGCTATGTTTATGAATGGGTTAAGCCTTCCCCCAAAGCCTCTAGCGGCTGTCTCATTGACAGCAGCTAGAGGCGCTTGCGTGCTTCTCACTGTGAAAATCACAGTGAGAGCACGCAAGCGTCCATAGGAAAGCATTGATAATGCTTTCCTATGCGACCGGCTGAATGCACGCGCAGCTTCTGCCGCGCGTGCGCATTCAGTCAACGGGGAGGATTGGAGGAGGAGAGCTCCCCGCCCAGCGCTGGAAAAAGGTAAGTTTTTACCCCTTTCCCCCTTCCAGAGCCGGGCGGGAGTGGGACCCTGGCACTATAGTGATCCTTTAAACCCAAGGCCTTTGGACGTCTGTCTGCCTCTGTTTACCCAGTGGTTAACCAGCTGGGGAGGTCAGAGAGTTCCCCATCTGGCTCACTAACACTGAGGGCCCCTGTTAGTAGCTGAGCAGATAATATTAAATATGAAGCTTTTATCCCTTTGCTGATCTTTGTGTGTCATTTCCTGGTATAAGGAAGGGGCGGAGATATAACGTCAGATCATATTCCCAGCCCCGTCTCACCTATGCGGCGTGGCTTCAGTGTGGAGGCAGGATGTAGGAGTAACAAGCCAGCTGCCCAAGCTACACAGTGCCTAAGGTAGGATCACAGGAGAAAATTAAAAGAATAAATGTTAAAAAATGTATATTTATATATATATATATATATATATATATATATATATATATATATATTAGTTGTAGCTGGAGGGAGAAAGTAAGTAGTTTTGATAAGATAGGCAAAGAAAAGGTGGAAATGGGAGTGGCAGGGGGGATATGATAGAAACATTTAAATATATAAAGGGAATCAACACAGTAAAGGAGGAGACTATATTTAAAAGAAGAAAAACTACCACAACAAGAGGACATAGTCTTAAATTAGAGGGACAAAGGTTTAAAAATAATATCAGGAAGTATTACTTTACTGAGAGGGTAGTGGATGCATGGAATAGCCTTCCAGCTGAAGTGGTAGAGGTTAACACAGCGAAGGAGTTTAAGCATGCGTGGGATAGACATAAGGCTATCCTAACTATAAGATAAGGCCATGGACTAATGAAAGTATTTAGAAAATTGGGCAGACTAGATGGGCCGAATGGTTCTTATCTGCCGTCACATTCTATGTTTCTATGTTTCTATGACATAGCATGAAGAGATCTAGGCATGATTTAAAGAAGGGAAGAGAGGCAAAATGAAGGGGGGGTCAGGGTGGAGGTAGAGAGAATTGGGCAAAAAATAAATTGACACACACAAAGACCCTAAAAAATTCCCCCATACTTGTACCATACTCTAATACTTGCATATTACAACTACACAGGCTGACGCAACACAGAAATACAATCTACATGCTGTTCAAATACACCCCCACAAATACACACTGCTACCTTACCCAAATTCATATCAACTGCCATAATACACAAATACACTCCCACATTTACACTGCTATCTTACACATTCATACCTACTGACAAATACACAAATACCCCCAACATTTACACACACTTTTATGCTATGCAAGTACACCCCAAACACTATCATGCTGCAAAGTACAGTCCAAAAGAATTTTTTTTAAGAAAAGCTGTTATCTTAATGTTGTTATTTAAACTGTTTAGTAGATAATTCCCAAATATGCAATCCTTATGTGGAATTGCCCGAATGTATGTATACCAAATTAGGGAGCTGTTTAATAGATAACTCGTTTTTTGGGGGGGAGGGGGGGTTTATCCGTAAATACGGCAATTTCATATAAGAATAGCAAATTAAGTAATTATCTAAACAGCTGAAAGATCAAAATTATAAAATTAGCTTTCTTAGTTTTGATATTTCACTAATATGGGATATTTAAGGATACCAAAGAAAGGGAGCAGTTCAGTAGATAACTCTCTCTTACTAGGTATCCATAATCCCACATAAGGATACCAAATTAGGAATCTAACTATTATTATCTTCATTTTTTAGCTGTATATAGATGGTGGTGGCTCTCCATTCGTTTACAAACCAGGTATTTGGCCATCGTGTGGAGAAAGTTGTTCCTCCTGTTTTAAATTGAGGGAGGACCAGGATGAAAGGGTGTGGTCGTAGATTGGTATGGCCAGGAAGGGGCTCTGTGAATATAGGGCATCTACAGGCCTAAGGCCGGCCCTGATTACTTTGCAAATAACCCTCAGACCCTTGTTCCATATCACTAAATTAACCACTCCCAAAAGTCAAACAAACCATTTACTTAGTCCCACTAAATCACTAAAAGCTTAAATCTGAGTAAATACCTTTTACCTTATTCTTAGGGGAAAGTCCCCTTGAAACCTGAATGTCTAATGTAACCCAATTCTAAATTAAATCCAATTCAAACCCTTAACTCAGTAATCTTAAACTATTAACTTGTTTGGGCAAGGTCCTCTTCACCTACTGTTCCAGTATGTCAATCATATTTTGTTATAGGTTTGCTTTGTTTACCTATTATACAAGGCTGCTGAATATATTGTACTCTTTAAATAATTGAAATTGCAAACACACTCTGTACCCAAATAATACATTTAACCCTACTCTAAAAATAAACAAAATTATCCTAAACACTCCTTATGCCACAACTATTCTCTCTCTAGCTTCTCTCTAACATTTAACACCCTATGTAATCAACTGTGATGTTAACCCCCATTCACCCTAACCTCTTCTAACTTTATCTTTAATTCTTCACGCATTTCCACAGTTGCATGCACTGACTCACTATACTTTCAAATTGAAACACAGTATATTACGAGCAGAAACATACACACACACACACACACACACATATCATTTATACACATTTGTAGTTGTCAAATATGAATACATGTTTTTTAGACATTGTTATGCCTGTAATGTCCAGTTAATTAATTAAACTCACTTTACCTGTCTTTCCCTTCTTTGGAGGAGAGGGGCCTTAATTTTGATATTTTTGGAGCCTATTGCATCTGTGCTAATCAGAATTTCCTGAATAAATGCATCTCTATGGGGAACAATCAGCACCTCCATGCAGAGGAATCACCTCTAGTGGCCGTCTGTCTCTGAAAAGACTGTGTATACATTGAAAAGCCTGCAGGAACGGGCCATAGACACCATAACTTCTACATTAAGCTGTGGTGGTTCTGGCACTATAGTGTTCCTTTAAGAATTGTATTTTTGTTGTTGCAAATTAAAGGGACACTCAATGATGTGGTCTGGGTGCCAGGTCCCCCAGGTCCCTGAGGGTGGGGGGGACCCAAAGACCCTATAGTGCCAGGAAAACGAGTTAAGCTTTGTTCGTTATAAAAAAACAAAAAAGCTGGCTCCTAGATTCCAAGCAAATTTGCCAAGCCATGTTTTAAAAGACCACTAAAGTTATCCAGGCCACTTCACCTCAATGTGGCGGAATTAACATAGAGAGGGCCCTGGTGCAATAATTTCTTTGGGCCCCCTCTATTGCAAGGGTTGCCAAAGGGTCCCCATCTGCCGTACAACTTCCACAATGCATTCACAGCTGGAAATCTACCATTTGCTTATTCTTGCAGTGTTATTTTTTTAGCACTGAGCAGTGTTTGTGTGTTTGAATGTTTTTGTATGGAGTAAGTGTGAGTTAATGTAGCAGTGTGTTTGCGTGTAGTGTGTTTGTTAGTGCAGTGATGTGTTTTTATATATATATATATATATATATATATATATATATTTATTTATTTATTTATTTATATATGTAAAGGCGTAACCTGGAGTTGTGGGAAGGGCTGTTTCCCTTTTTAAGGGCCTCCTCTCACTGCTCCATACTTTTACCTGGTCGGAAATTCTGTTTGCCCCTCCCTTCACTTCCCTTATTCACATATTTCTTCTCTTCTCTTTCTACATTGCTATTTACTAGGTGGGCCCTCTTTATTTTACAGGCCTGCCGATACAGTGGTTTCGGCACACACCAACCGACTTTCACACACAGCTATGTTACTTGTACACATTTCTTGGACTTCCTATTGACTATTGATAAGGCCTTAAAGGACTATTGATAGGCACCCAGACCACTTCAGCTCAATGAAATGGTCTGGGTGCCAGGTCCATCTAGGGTTAACCCTGCCTGCTGCAAACATAGCAGTTTCAGAGAAACTGCTATGTTTACATTAGGGCTAATCCAGCCTCTAGTGGCTGTCTTCTTGACAGCCGCTAGAGGCGCTTCTGCGCTTCTCACTGTGATTTTCACAGTGAGAAGATGCCAGCATCATAGGAAAGCATTGAGAATTCTTTCATATGGACTGACTGAATGCGCGCGCGCGCGGCTATTGCCACAAATGCGCATTCGCCAGAAGAGGAAGGAGAGTCCCCGGTGCTGGAGAAAGGTAAGCCTTTAACACCTTCCTCTCCCTACAGCCTGGCAGGGGGGGGGACCTATTAACCCTATAGTGCCAGGAAAATGAGGACCTATTAACACTATAAGTGCCACGACCACAAATAATACAGTTTTAATACAGCGGTGTGTTTGTATGTAGTAAAAAGACAGAGTATATAGGGTGTTGAAATAATTCAAATCCCTAATCTCTGTAAAGGTTACAGGAGGTATAGGGGGCTTAACCCCTGCAAATTATGAGAAACAAGAAAGAGAAAAAATGAACTGGAAGACCACCAAAATCGAAGATAGAGGTGGAAAACCTATTCATTCATAGATCTATACCTCCCAAAAAGTAAGTGTACTATATGTAACGGGTTCCAAGACCTTTAATAAAAAATGACATACATATTGAAATTATACATAACTGGCTAAAAAGTTTGCCAGAAAGAGTTCCCCTAAGGGATATT